ATTGTGTTTCGTAAAACAGTTTACTGAGACACGTCACTTCGATTGCATTTATGAGGTGACTTCGAACGAAACGTCTCAATTCTCTACATTCATTACTTTAGGTTAACATAAATTATGCATAATTGAAAAATATTGACATTTACATAGTAAGACACTTTCTTGTAAGAAAGGTACTTGCACAAAAGCCAATAAAAAAGACTGTCAGGACAATCTCTAAACCCTGAAAGGCGACAAAATATTTTTTCACATCGTTAGATTGCTCACAGACAACCTTACAAATTTTAACCAACTTGTCACAAATCATCTGATGCCATTCAATTTAATCCTGTCTTTCCACACACAAGAGAAGCAAATATATTTTTTGGCATAAATACATCTCTTAAATTGAAGTTCTAAATACTGGACTGAGCCCATTTACACAGTTGGTGATCCGTAGTTATTTGGTCACTATATTCGCACTACAAACGGCCTTTTCAGAGCAACAACCTCTTCCTACGATATGTCACAGAGAAATGCTACAATGTTGGCATTCATTGTGCTGTCTAATCGGTAGTAAATGTTTTCCGTTTCTGTAGACTAACTTACTAAAACAATACGGAGATCCACCAATCCAAAGACGCGGCCAAACAAAGCAAGCACGACATTGACCACTAGTCTCTTGTTGACTCAGAGAAGATTTTTTAATAATGTCTATGCAGACAAAACTGAGTGAAAATTTGTGTGTGCGTAATCTCTGCTGTTTCATACAGATCTTTCCTTAACAAGAATGGTAAGTATTTTGAAGATGGCCCTGATGATGGAGGCAGCAAGTACACTTGAATCGTCAGTAAGCTTCTATCAGACTACATGGCAAAGTATCCCAGAAGACAAGCAGAAACATCATCAATTTTTGTGACACTAAATAATTGTTAAGAGGATGACCCGCTATAAAGTCCATCTGCTTCAGTTAAAACTGCATGTAGAGCTCAGCAGCCAGTTAAGAAAGACATAATTAACCCCAAAATATATCGACAACCATGGGATTAGTGCGTAAAAGACATAATTCAGCTGAAAGACATCACATGATTTGTAACAAGCTTATATGATAATTTCTGTGGTTAGGATGTGTACTAAGTCGGCGAGGAACAAAATGTGAAAATAAGCTTCCTCCATCCTCATAGACTGTTTGTGTTGAACATACGTCCACCTACACCACATTCTGCAAATTCCTCAATCAGCAGTTCTATCAAAAGTAGGATATATACATATACACGCATACCATAACGAGTTAAGTGACCAACTTAACAGCACAGTGAAGTAAAACATCTTTTTCTCCCACTAACCTAAATGAAAGAACCTTACGCTTCTCACGCAGGTTATATTTTGGCCTAATGTCTCATCACCTTTGGATGTTTAAAAAACTACTCAGTTTATCGTTAGATATTATACAAGTTGCTTTCTTACAAGGTATCTTACTATATAAATTCCAACAGTTTAATATATATAATACACACAGATAATTTATGTTAACCTCGATTAATAAACGTAAATAATTCAAAAGAAACATGTTTTAAGTTGCCTATCAATACAAAGGAAGTGACTCTTCACAAATTCAAATCCTATTGCAGTCACTACTTCACATACAGTAGGGCCCCGCTTTTCGGCGCTCGGCTTTATGGCGCTCCGCTAATACGGCGCTCAACAGCTGAGTCAGAGAAGTGCGTCCGGCGCCATTTTCTCGTCGCTGATTCAGTCTGTTTACAGCTTTTGTGCGCTCCGCGTGTCTCTGTATTTCTGGCAATTTTTCAGTTATTACAAACTGTATATTTATATAATATTTTTGTGTTACTACAGTGTAATTACAATGGCGTCTAAGGGTAGTAGCGATAAAAAGAGGAGTCGTAAGCCTCTTACTTTAAATGCCAAGTTAGAGATGATTAAACTTCGTGAACAAGGCGTGTCTATGACTTCCGAACCATCACCAAAACGAATAAGATTCGTTGAAGAGTTAGATGATGAAGATGCGCCATCTCCTTCATCCTTCCTACTATAACCATATCAATTTTCAAATTTATATTCACCAATCACTATAAGTTGAGGACAATGTGTGTATTACTGATATTCTGTAGATCAGTGGCAAGGCATTTTATTAGATTTGAAATGAACATAAAATTAGCCATGTATTACTTCAATTAGGCCAGAGTGATGTTAACCACTCACCCCCTAGTGTCAAGGTTAAGAATGAGCAGGAGCTATACCTCCACTCTCCCCTTGCGCCTACATGGAATATAATGGGACAGCTTTACTTTTACTTTATATGTTCTCAAAAAAAATAGGTTTTTAACAAATCTGGACATCTACTCTCAAAACAGGTAAATTTTGGTAGAAACAATCTCCATTTGGACTACAATCTCACAAAAAATCATTCAATTCAGAGGTCAAGTTTCTATGTTGATTTGATATGGAATGACCCATGATGTAACCAATGAAAGGCTCGTCGCAATTGATGACCTCACAGAAAATATCACGAATGGTAAAATTTCTCTTTGGGCTGAAAGTAAACATCCAAATATAAATTTTCTTCCTAAGATTTTCCAAAAATGCTAAATAAACAGCATTTCCAACATCTGCTAGTCTTTACTGGCCTAGCTACAAATCCAAATCTCAAGAGGCCTGACCTCAGGAGCAAAAGCCAACTCTTACAACCAAGAGTCTATTATTAATAATGCAGACGTTTCCAATCACGCATCATAAATAAAAAGTGATATCCAAATGTCTCTAACAAATTCTACATTACACAAAACTGAAGTATTACAGGGGACCTCTGGCCACTATTTAAAATATCAATGCACATGTGCTTATGTGCAACTCCCCACATGAACACGTAACAAATCATGGATTACAGGAAACATTATTAGGTTCAGGATGATTGACCATTTTAATCATCAAAAAACATAATCATATCAGTTCACTGCCAGCCGGGCTAACTGGAATTTTGGAATGCATGATTGGAACACTGTGTAAGCTAGGTACAACTTTACAAATTGGGTCTGGACCGGATATTACATGTAAGCAAGAGGAGTAGTGAGGGTCATCACCAGTTATTGTATGGATTCATAGTAAGGTCATCAGCTACTGCATGGATTCCTTCACTTGCTATTATAAACAGAGTTAACAAAAGGTAATAGGCACAAACATGACCTGCTCAGTTGGGGAAGCCATTCATATGAGTGTTTCAGTGGTGTGGTGTGGTGTGGTGTGGTCGTGGTGGCAATAATGGTGGCTATCCATTAGAAGGCATGGGAGTGGTTGGATCTATGAACCTGCTTCACACAATAAAGTTTCCAAAACACAATTGTGCATTCCAAAATGGAATATAATCTAAAAGTGCAACATCTGGACACAAAGAATTTTTATAAGTTTGAATTTCATTCCAACTAACAATCTATTATTTTTGTATGTATTTCTGTTGCAACAGCATCTAACCCTGATAAATTAGACAAGTTATACATTAAAATTATTTAACTGTATGCACCAGCTTTTGAGTAAAGATCATTACATCACCTGTCAGTAAAATAAATTTGCTTATTTACTGGACAGGTCAAAAGTGACTAGGTGCAACCGAAATTTGAAGGTAACATAACACAACCCAACTACAAAGCCATTAGACCAACTTTGTTCAGCAAACAAAAAAGTTAGGTTGTACAGGCAACTAGGAACAAAGACAGGTTAAGCACACAACCACAAGGTTTCCCTATTAGTATTTTATTTCCATCTTGGTGGAACCTCTCCATGTATATCCAAAACAAGGCATACAGAACTATACAAAGCTGAGCAAGAATGGTTTATAAAAAAATTGTTGAAAAAGTGCACTGCAGTACCAATGCTGAACAAAAGATATACATTTATATACCCTTTAAGTATCCTGCTAGTGGAACTGTTCATAAATTTTACAACCTACATGGAGTGAATGCTGGTGAACGAAGGAACAAATATGTCGCTTCACTTTAAAAAAAAATGCAATTTTATAGCAATTACCGAAATTGAACTACAACAGTACAGAATCAATGTAATTTAGCTTACAAACGTGCTACGTTCGAACATGCCTCGTTCCCGATATTACACAAATACAACACAATTAGTAACAACTGGCTGTACTAGCCCAAAATTATACCCATCCTGCTCTTCGACCATGAACTTCTACCAAACACGTGCAACACAACACGGCCGTAAAGGCGACACAGTTAATGTGTACAAACCTTAAATCCATCGGAGGTTAAAATTACATTTACCTATTCACAACATGCAATACAAAATTTCGCCTCCGTCAAGGGTTAAGAGATAACAAAATGTTCATAAGATGTACGTAAAAAAATCAATCATGGCGACTATGGGGATAGCTTGGTTGCTGCAAATGACTTTGTCCAGGGTATTGAATGTTAAATTCACATAAATGGTTGAAGGAATACTTATAAAACATACCTTTATACACTCAGGATATAAACTGGCAGGTCCAGGAATACCGGGATTGTTTCTGGGGTGTTCAGGTCACAAATGAAGGAACACTTAATGGAGAAACAGCAAGCTGGCAGCGATGATCCAAGGACAAGTAAAGACTTAAAACATGGCGCAGGTGACGCTACTACAAAAAGTCCAGAAACGTTAGATATTCTTCCGCAAGTCAAAGTATAAAGTTCCTATCAATTTAAGGAATGTAATTGCTACATTATTATGGAATGAAACTCAAATGAAATTCGTTCAATATGAATATGCCAGTGCTAGTATAATTTTATTCGTATTTTATTATAAAACTGGATCTACTTTTGTACTTCGGAGACACAAACCAAATTAGACACTAATTTTGTGAAATTACAATCACTAGAAAATGAACCATAGTTATAGTATATTAATTCTTTTCTTGATAAAATAAGTAAAAGATAAAAATATTAAATAGATAAATTACTCAATATCTAACACTAATTATCTCATAAATTTATTTTTCAGGATGTAAGTCTTGTGTAGTCGTGAATTTTAATGACGGAGAATATGTTTACGAACAAAATTTAATGTTTCTTCACACCAGGTTGTCTTTTGAGAACGATTACGAAATCCCACGACGTAATCTTTCACGCCTGGACATCACTACTTCGGGTTTCTGAGTCTCGATAAACCAGTTTACGATAAGGAATGTGTATGGAGTAGGTGTTAATGTAACACATTGCATAATGTAAGACATAATAAAAGACATTCTATTTCATACAGAGAACCTTGAAAAGAGCTTTTTTTTAAGTAGCACTTTGACATGTCATTTGTGTTGCGTCTCGTAAAATTAATAGGCTTTCATTGAAACTAGGGGGTATTCTAAGTCTTCTTACGTTCGTTCGTTATTTGCTTCAAATCAATACATGTTTTGCGATTAATACCAACAACGTAATTACCACGTTACAATCTGTGTCGCTTGGTGTTTTAAGACATGTTCTCTCAAGAAAAACAAGAGAGAATATCAAAAGAATTCTCAAGGCTCAAAGGTAAGAATCTAGCAATCTTTAAAACTCGGATTCCAGGAAAATTAAGTGGTTCTCAGGTCGAATAGTGTATGTAACACCCTAGGTCGGTTAATAAGCGTTGTTTAACAAGTTCAAATCGTCCTCTTTCGACCGACGTACAGCTAAACCAGAATTTGGTGATTGGGAAGAAGACTTTAACCCTTTTTAATGGACAACAAAGATACGACAAGGACACCGCGACCTCTTTAGTTCAGCAGCATTTATTTTTCTAAAATTAAATCGTTTTGAGAAACGAAACGAAAGAGAACAAAATTTATCACCTTTCAACATTATATTTGTTTCATTTTCCTTCATGTTATGTAACTGGCATTAGTTAAAGAGTTGGGTAGCTCAGGTAGTATAGTGACAGACTAAGGGCTGGATGATGGGGGGGTTCGATCCCCAATAGGAGCAGATGATTTTTTTTCTAGCCTCGGCGTCTATACCGGTTTTCGGGCCCACCCAGCTTCCGTTCCAATGGGTATAGGCGGTTCTTTCCCCAGGGACAAATCGCGGGTGAGTTGTGACGATGACCTTTCACCCCCATCTAGTGATTAAGGTTGAAAAAGAGCTGGGGCTTTACCGTCTTTCGCCCAGAGCGCAATGTGAGAGCTTTACTTATCGTTTTATTTAACAGGAGTTTATGAATAAGCCTGAGATATATAAGGAAGAGAATATTGTAGTTCTCAAAAATATCCGAGCAGTGCATAAATTGGTAGTACATGTAATAAAATGTGTCTCTTTGTTTGTTATTTTTAAAGAAAAATTATTTACAGGAGGCAATATCAGTCACTTTGTTTGACAAATTTAATTTCTAACTATACAAGTCATGAGTCCTGAACATTTTCTTTGAGTATCGTAAATCAATAGCAGAATGACACAATGTGAGTTAGCTCAGATGTAGCGTACCACCATCTTACAGAGGAAGTTTTTGTGTACATGTGGTTAGGAAAAGAAAATCATAGCATCCACAATCTTATAAGATGAGGTGGCCACTAAATATCTTCCCATCTACTTCGTCAACACAATTTTCAGCACCTTTCGTAACTACATGGTTGCTAAAACATTTTCTTTCCCATTTTTTCCTAATTCATCCAGACTGGCTCTGGGGGACCACCCAGCCTCCTATCCAACAGGTACTGGAGTCCTTTCCCAAGGGTAAAGCGCAGCTGGGGCATGATGCTACCACTCACTCCAATCTAGTGCCGAGTTGAAGAAGGAGTAGGAGCTATACCTTTTCTCCCCAAAGAGCCTACATGGCATATAGTGGGGCAGCTTTACTTTAATTTTCCTAACTATGTGGTCACTAAAATATTTTCATAACTAACTTACTTAACCTACATTATTCTCAACTGTCATTTTTTCCCTTCTGCTTGTCATTACCCTTTTTTGTGGTTCTTTTTGGTTTCCTCTATACTTATACATTAGATTGCTAAAGACTGTTATTCATTTTTTAAATGACGTGCATGAAATGAACACATCAAGAATCACCAGATGGATTTGGATGAAATTTTTTGTGGACATTATGCCATTAGGGACTGCCCTAATATTGTACTCTACAATTTCCTATAATTTATAATATCAACATGGCAGTTGAAGATAGTTGAGGTGGGATAAACACAAGCACTACTTGCAATAGGGCCATACAATGGTGTATGGTTTGATTTTTATAAAACTTTGGTATACTTATTTATTTATAGCTGATTAACGATGCTTTTTTCGGCAGCTCAGCATAAAAACATTGTTATAGGAACTTTTGTTACGTGCAGAATAACAACATGGTGGCTGTAAGAAAGAAAACAAAATTAGACTTGATGAGGATTTGATCTTGTAACCCCACAAGACCAGTATGATACCTCAGAGCAAATGTGCCTTAAGAAATATGGGTATTGATATGCATCATTTAAAGAGGTCATTAACACCACATGTTTTTGTATAGTTAGAAACTAATATTGTCTAAGAATTGCATTTTGGTGCGATTAAACCTTTCGAGTCTTAACACCTCTTTTCTTAACCACATTATCATTAGTTGTTGTTTTTTCCTGTGATCATGTGTTTCTCTTAAACCTTTCACCATCACTGCTACTCCTTACTTGTTGGTCAGAAGAATTTTTTTAAGGGCATCTCTTCCTAATCATATGGTTGCTACATTTTCATCGCCTCTTTTCTTAATCCTGAATGCTTTTTAAATCACCACTTTTCTTCAACTATGTCATCAATCCCTATTGGATTCAACCCAGCCCCTCTGTTCATCTACTCACAACCTCCACTGCATGCTGCAATGTCAATACAAGTAATTCCTAATCCCCCAAAGACATTCACCTTGAACATAGGAGTGCAGTGTTTGCTGAAATTTTGGAAAACCTTCAACATTCAGTGTTAATTATTCCCAAAAACTGAATTTATACAGTAACTGCAGTTGCAAAAATCAGAGAACAAGAATTTAGTTAGGTTAGGTTATGCCAATTAATTATTTTAATTTCCTTAAATGTAGTTGCTTTAACCTCCATTAGTTAATAAATATTCCATATTGGTAATTTATTATATCAGTGGTAGTTCTAAGCTTAGCTACATTAATTTGGGTTAGGTTATTTTTAATTAGCTTCCTTAAAACCTGATTACATTATTTTTCAGAAGTTGACAACACTTCTGTGTTGCTCTGATTTACAAGCCGTTATGGTGGGGAGAGTGACGCCATAATGTATGCTATTACTTTAATGGCATTTTATTGAAAATTAAACAATTCAGCTGAATGACGTCTTGACTATGTGCTGAACTTTATTGTGTATCAAAATCAAAATTTCAGGATTTTCAGATTTTCATTTTGAACATTGTCCATCATCTTAGTTATTTGTTAAAGGGCACATATGTTTCAGAGACTGGAGGAGCTCTGTCTAAGTGGCCAACCCCTCTCTCCTTCGTTCACCTGATGATGGAAGCATATCAAGTCTCCAAAATGTTGTGTCTTTTAACAAATAAGCAAGGCTATGGACAATTTCAAAAATAACAGTTGAGCTCATTACAACACATTATCATCAGAACTCTTCAGACATACAGATAAGATTGTTTTAATGCGACTGTGAATACATGTGGATTACTGAAGAAATGGGTTATCTGTAGGTGTTTTTAATAGATTGTTCTTTGTTTTTTTAAGCCAACAGGACACTGAATTTTCATGGCAGTTTGAGGCACATTACTCAATATCCTATGTCAGTGGTATTCAACCTTTTTTGTTCGTGTACCCCGAGATATAATTTCTCTTCAAGTTTGTACCCCCAAAATTGTTGGTTTATAATTCAAGTTATACATAGTATATAATCTACATCTAAAATAAATTAAATAAATTACATTACTGATTATTCAGTGTTTATCATAAAATAATATATATTTTTTTTCAATTTCACGTACCCCCTAAGATGTCTTCGCGTACCCCCAGATATAATTTCTCTTCAACTTTGTACCCCCAAAGTTGTTGGTTTATAATTCAAGTTATACGTAGTATATAATCCACATCTAAAATAAATTAAATAAATTACATTACTGATTGTTCAGTGTTTATCATAAAATAATTTTTTTTTAAAATTTCACGTACCCCCTAAGATGTCTTCGCTTACCCCAGGTTGTATACCACTGTCCTATGTTCATAAATAGATAAGTTGATATAATAAAAGAAATACATAGGGTAATAACAGGAAGAACAGGTATTAAATCACTTGCCATTGATCTTGACGGATTGGCTATTTAACAGTGCTCATTTACTGCAGGTGTTATACAGCGTACCCTGATATATTGTTACTACTTTTATGAAAGCATTGTTTATTGGAAAAGGCAAAATAAATGTTTCTGAGGTGTTTTACGTACTTATGTATTGTAACACTGGTTGATAGCTACAACTGATGAAGTGTGGTGCAGGTTTGCATTTTTTCAGGAGATAATACTTTCATAAAGGTAATAACAGTTTTCAGAGGGTCTTACATAAAAGAATCAAATGAGACGGTCAGGTGATCATAGGCAATAAGTATGTACGGATTTAGGTGAAGGTTGTCATGGACTGTTTTAAGATACATTTGCCTACAAAGTATAAGGAAAACAGTCAGTCAGTACAAGTAATGACCCATCCATGATTCACTGATGATTACAAATCAGGTAATTTCTGATGCTTCAGCTTAGTGGTTCATGTTAACATCCCAAAGATTACCTTAGAACTTACATGTTTTATTATCACTCATACTATATCAGATTTAACACCACATGGTCATAAATTATACATATTATGTTGTGGCAGTTCATCAGTTATCATGAAATACAATATTTTGTATAATCACCATATTAATAGTTTCTGTTTTCTTAAAATAATAGTTTAATTAAGGGAGCATACTTTTCAAAGAAATACTGCTACTCAAAAGTTCAGTATATGTACATATATCAGATGGAACTAATGTTGTTACCATCTCATAAGTCTGAATAGTCACTATTGGGTGTTGTTGATGACAAAATTAGAAAGTACCAATATGCGTAAGTCTATAATGGTGATATGTTCTACAAAGATTCACATAAATCAGTCAGTTGATGTCGACTACACAACATCCAGAACCCTGGAACTGAACATATAAACAGATTTGGATTGCGATAATATGGACCATCATTAAAGCCTTTAGGTGGTTGCCAGCATCTTGGAGGAACTTGCTTTCTCCTTCTTCAGGGTAGATGCAGGTGATAGGTTTGAAAGGTTGGTAATCACCAACAAGACTATATGGCATCATAACTCAGGAGACCAATATTCAGTTTTTAGCCACCGACAGAACCTGAAAAGTCATAAATATTAGCACTTTGAATATATGATGATGGTGATGATAGTAATAATAGTGTGGTACACTAACAGTGCAGCTGGAATACATTGTATTCTTTTTATTCGTGAATACACAGATCACTTACTACTTCTGTTAAATTATGTTCTTACCGTGGTGCTGGGAGAGCATAGAAGAATGTGCATTCTTAATTCTGTCTATCTGGCCACGTATTTTGTCCATAAGGTATGTGCTACTTGGATCATGTTGGAGCTACACTCTATGCAGAGAGTCAAATCAAGGCCATAGCCGAAGACCTGTGTGAGAACGTGTATGGAAACCCTCACTCCCTGAGCATTAGCAGCCGATATTCAACTGATGTGATTGACCAGATACGGTACAGGTATGTCTTCTTCTTCTTCCTCTTCTCCTATGGCTCTCTGGTCCGTATTCGGCCCTCAATTCTCCTCTTCCATTCGGACCTCTGTTAGGTCCGTCTGTCCGAGGCTTTGATGTGTTAATTGAACTAATTCAGAAATATAAGGATTCAAAAGTATTCACTTCACATTGATTACTCTCCACAGTTTATATTTAATTTATTATATTAGTTTTGAAACAGCATAGGACAAAAATGAAAATTACAGTTGTAAATGTAAATATTATGCTTTATTTTTAGTGTTTTAAAAATAAAGTTATTATTTTAGTGATTATTTCACTACATGATGAAACTGTTGGTAACAGTGATGAGTATATAGCATGTTTCCAGAGACCGTGTTTATATGTTTGTCCTTCCATAGTTATCATAAGCTTCATATCCTCCTCCTCCTGATGTTTTAGCCATCTGAAACAAGTACATAAATGACTAGTATATTTTGGGGTCAGGTATATCTGTCCATCTGGATGGTTTGTCTGTAAAGAATGTAGATCTAGATGGTAGCTTTAGAAAGATTCAGGACAGGAGCCATACCTCAAATCTTACAGCACTAAGGAGCCCTTAAGTGTGATTGCCTTCAAAATATAGTCATTCAGCAGTTGCCAGCATCTCCGCAATTGCGAAGATATTTTTGGAAGCCACCAGGCAACACACTCTTAAACACCACTTGAACATTTTCTGTAATTTTTAAATGATTAGTGTTCAGCAGTTTTACAGGTTAAAATCACATGGTGTATGCAACTCAAAATTACCTAGTCAACAATATCCTGAAATTTGGTCCATGTCACATGGGGCTTTCTGTATAAGAGTATATACAGTGCTAATGCATTGTTTTACTAAAGTATAATTTAACGCTGAAACATGCAGCTTTCCACTCTTATTTAAAACAAATATTTCAGGTACCTGAGATTTAATCATGTACAAATTTATGTACAGGGTGCTGCAACATTTCAATACAGATCTGAATGACTACAGCATCATCTTTACATCTGGAGCTACACATGCCCTCAAACTTGTGGCAGAGTCATTTGATTGGACAGACAATTCCACAAAGAATGATAAATCAGTACCCAATCAAATTAATTATACGAAAAAAGGAACAAATCGCTGTGGAGCAGAGAATGACTCATATTCTCACGGTAGACATGCAGGGACATTTGTGTACTTGCAAGACAACCACACGTCTGTCCTCGGAATGAGAGAAGTGGCCAAGAAGCACGGTGCAAATGTTTGCTGTTTGTCATACGAGGAAGCCTTTCAATGTTTTCTGGACTGTGGATGTTCTGACTTCACTTCAGTTTTTGATGGGAATTCTTTGTTTGTGTACCCAGCACAGTGCAACTACTCAGGAGTCAAATATCCCCTCTCTTGGGTTTCTAAAGTGCAGAATGGAGCGCTGAATTATAAATCGACACACAGCAGACAGTCAAAGTGGTTCTGCCTGCTGGATGCTGCATCATTTGTTTCCACAAGTGTCTTGGATCTTTCACAAGTTCAACCTGACTTTGTGTGTTTGTCATTCTACAAGATATTTGGTTACCCAACGGGGCTAGGGGCCTTACTAGTCAAGAATTCAAGTTCCTATGTCTTAGAGAAGTGTTACTTTGGGGGTGGCACTGTTCTCTTATCACTTAGTTCCCAGTGTGAACATATCCCTAGACCAGCTCTAAGTGACAGGTGAGTGATATTATTATTTAATTGCTAGTAGTCACAGTGGATGGCATCAGTTACTCATTTATAGTCTTACCTGGATTATAATGTAATATAAAAGTAAAGTAAAGTAAAGTTTGTCCCACTATACACCATGTAGGCGCTTGGGGTGAGTGGAGGTATAGCTCCTCTCTTCCTTGACCTCGGCACTAGATGGGGGTGAGTGGTCAGCATCACGCCCCGGGAAAGGACCCCGGTACCCATTGTAGAGGAGGCTGGGTGGGCCCCAGAGCCGGTCTGGACACAGAGGCTAGAGGAAAAATCCTCTGCCCCCGTCGGGGATCGAACCCTGGTCGTCCAGCCCGTAGCTAGTCACTATACTGACTGAGCTATCCCGGCTCATTATAATGTAACATAACATGTTAAAATTATAAACTACGTTGTTTCATTATGTTCTTAATTGTAATAAATTCCTTTTAAAATATTCAGTTAAGTGGACTCTGCATCAAAATAGCTATCCTACAAACCTGCTTAAGGTTCTTGGAAAAATTCATATTAAATCAAAACTTTGTATGTAGAGTCTGTTGCACCTTGATCTGTGAGGGGAACCACGTACACCTCTTGGTATGACAGCTAGTTTCGTCAACCTCTTTTGCATGAATGAGGAGTGCCAACAACTTGATTTTGACATCTGGTTTGAGTATAGCTCAAGCTAACTGTTGTACTAACCTTCCTGGTATCTCTTTTTCATAGTGTGTTCTGCTTTCTCTGATTCTGTGGCTATCTTTAATTACTCATTAATTAAAACTTTTCCTTCACTTTGGCAGTCTTAAAAATGCAAGTAACCTAAAGGCTGTCAGACCAACAGTAAGCCTCTCTGTTATAGGTTTGAGGATGGAACCATCCCATTCCTTTCCATTGCAGCATTGCGTCATGGGTTCTGTTCACTGAAACAGTTGACAGGTGACATGGCTAGTGTGATGCTTCATACATTTTCACTGGCACGTTACCTCTTCCAGTTCCTTCTTACACTTCATCATTCAAATGGCTCTCCTGCAGCCATTTTGTATTGTGACACAACCTATGAAGATGCCTCTACACAGGGAAATGTCGTTAACTTTAATATGCTTCGTCCTAATGGAGCATATGTAGGCTTTATAGAGGTAAGTATCTTTGGTTTCATAAGGAAACCAATGGAAGAATTGTTAAGAAGCAGGCCAAGTTGAGCGAGTGTTGGGTGTATTTTGTATCTGTAAAGTAACTGGTTCTAATTTTGACTGCTGTCAGCTTTCTTTTTAGGGTTATTACTTTCCTTCACTGTCAGCACAATACCTTCTTTTAAAGGTGCCCTTACCTGCTACATGTGCCTGTTCCTTCTACGTACAGTACTGGTGTAGTAATTGTGACTGTGAATGTAGTAAAATGGATTCCACAAGAGTGTGGTTGCACCCACTGCTTTCAGAACTGACACTGGCACACATTTGAACACACAGCACATATATGAGGGATTTTACTTTATATGGCAATCCAAGCATGTGATGCTTTGTCCAGGTGAACTTCCCTTATGTGTGGTGTTGGTATTTGCTGTACATATTAGATGTCTGCATGTGCTCACATAAGCTGTGGATCAAGAAAGAGAGTGTATGTGAGTTTCAAGTGTACAGATGTGAACACTGATAAAATACCATATTCTGTTAGAAAATATGTGAGTGAAAGTGTCATAATCTGTTGAAGAAAGGCTTATGGACCCACATTCCATAGTATGAAACTGATGGGTGGAAAGACGCAGTTGTCACTGATGCTGCCGATATAGTGTGATGCACCGTTCAAATACAGGACATCTGTCTAGTCATTCCTCCCACAACTGAGGCAGTAATGTGCTGAGTGATAGTCCCCATCTCACTAAGGAACAAGTAGCACAGTGCAGTCAGGATTGTCTGAAAGTGACGCACTTAATGTTCTTAACCTGTCACAGGTATGTTGTTGTACGATATATGGGTATCATATATGGTATATTGACATTGTTAGTATATAGGTACAGGCATACCTCGTTTTATTGCGCTTCGTAGATATTGCGTTTTTTAAAAATTGAAGGTTTGTGGCAACCCTGCGTCGAGCAAGTCTATCGGCGCCATTTTTCCAACATCACGTGCTCACTTCGTGTCTCTGCGTCACATTTTGGTAATTCTCGCAATGTTTCTTTTAGACATAATGCTATTGCACACTTACTAGACTACAGTATAGTGTAAACATAGCTTTTATATGCACTGGGAAACAAAAAAAGAATTCGTGACTCGCTTTATTGCGCTGGTCTGGAACCGAACCCGCAATACCTCCAAGGTATGCCTGTACCGTGTTTTATATGTGATAGATTGGTAATACGCTTTATATGGTGGTTACTGATATGGGACATGATATGCATATTGGCATACTAGAATAGTGAGAAAATGTATTTCAGATTTATGACATTTTGTAATTTGGTTTTGTCCCAGCACTGTTTCAAACAGTTTGGTAAACAAGATACACTTTTAACATGGAAGCAACGTGCTGACACATGTATTTCGAAAGTCCAGCTAAGGCAAGCATCCAAGCTGATACACAATGGCAGAACACTGAGAATAAGGCAAGGTCCACAAGGGTGGACCTATTTGTAATATAGAAAGTTTTTGGACATATCCTACAAAGTTACACACCTTTTTGTTATAAGTAATGATACTAATTGTTTACTTTCTCTCACACTGTCTTGGTTGAAGCTGTGTTTGGTCCGTATTGGATGAAACATGCTTGCAGTAAGAAGTCGGCCACTGCTACTGCCTTAAGCAGCACTATGTTGTAATAATTATTAAATTAAAATTAAATCCGTGGCGTAACAGCTCCAGAGAGCCAAAGCCAACTAGCCTGACTGCTGGCCTCACGTTCACATGCCTAAGCATAGGGGAACGATCATCCAACCACATATAGGGTGATGTGTGGTCAGCACGACGAACCCCCAGCCATTGCTAGCTTTCCTGACCGGATTACGCTACTCGTAGCTCCACAATTTCCTCACGATGCTGGGTTGGCACCGGTCCCATACACTGGTCGAAAGCTCATGAGAAAAATTTCTTCTCCCCCCGAGACTCGAACCAGCACGCATTCTGTATCGCCGGTCCGAAGCATGACACCTCAGACCACGCGGCTACGGCGTGGGACTGTAAGAATTATTACTTGTAGTAAATTGCCATCGTCAAGTCTAAGTTTTCAGCCTAGAATTCCCACCAGTAGAATCCCCTCGACCTACCATCGTTCCCCGAGTCCTGCAACACAACAATTTATTTGAATTTCACCATTCCACTTTGTACTGTTGTTAGTAGCATATATTATCAAAATAAAAATGTATCTAAATCTATGCCAATTTGATATATTATTATGGTAATAAGGTGTGGCCTGCCATATGTTGGAAAAAAAACCAAGGTGCCAGAAAATGGTATTTTCTTCCAGGACAAGCAGCGTCCTATCACCATAGTGATTTGCAATGCTGCTCGGGTTGGAAGGTGTCTCTTTATTCCCCAAATGTGTTCCTGTGTGATTACTTCTTTTCCTCAGGTGAAGGAGTCACTCAGAGATATTACTGCAAAGCTAAAAAAACTAAGACAGCACCATTATGTTCTCTAAACACAGACAATTACATTGCTGTAATTGATTGTCTACATAACCATTGGGAAAAAGTGTTCACCTTGGTGATAACTGCTGTGAGTAGGGGGGCAGATGCCAGTATCTTCTGATATAAAATTTTGCTGATTTTTTATGGATCGTGTTTACCAAGGAAAATTTTACAGTATCCTGCATACATATTTTCAGTCTACAAATGTAATGTTGGTGGGTAAAGTGCTTACAGCATGAAAGGTAATAAAGAGAAACCAGCAATTGATAAAAAAAGAAAATCATTTTTATTTTTGAAATCTCTTATTGCCTAAGTATATATTGTGACTACACTAAATTTGTTACGTATCCCCCCTGAAGCTTTGCCGTGTCACCGTATTTATAATATTGACTTATATCTAATGCCGAAGGTCAAGAATGAGCTACATGCCATGTAGTGGGACTGCTTTATTCTTTTATATAATGATGATATATAAGAGTATGAAGATTTCCGTCTTCTGGGTTGTTGCGCTGTGTAGTCTGGTCGATGTTCACCAACGTTTCAGAGGTTATACTGCCTCCGTCATCAGAGTATGAAGATTTCTGTCTTCTGGGTTGTTGCGCTGTGTAGTCTGGTCGATGTTAACCAACATTTCAGAGGTCATACTGCCTCCATCAGAGTAGTTGGTAGCAGTGTGGTGAGGTAATGTTGTGCAAGGCCCTGGTTATGCAGAGTGTGTGTGTGAAGAGGAATATTAATGGTTTTAACAGTTGATGTCAGAAATGTTAAAAATTATGGCTTGATGAGCCCGGTGTTGGTCAGTTGCTTGTGGTGTATCTGCGATTGGAAGTGTAACAGTATGTAGACGTGCTGTTGGACCTGAGATAGTTTGGACAATTAGGGACCTGTTTGGCACTTTTGCGGCTTGCGGATTCCTGAGGCTGAAGTTTTGTGATAAATTAAAGCCAGTTTGTTAGTTGGGAGTGCTTAGTTTTGTGATAAAATAAAGCCAGTTTGTTAGTTGGGAGTGCTAGTAGGTATAACTACTGGAGGCCAGGTTAGGTTAGGTCTTCTGCTCTGGACCTGTGGCATCCTGTCAATGCAGCAGGTGTGCAGCCTTGCATGGGGTATTTTAGATGCAGACCAAGGCCAAGTGGCATGTAGACATGCATGTGGCACACTTGCTGTTAATGCCTCTATAATTTATATGGAGGCTAAGTTGGGATTTTCGTGTAATGAAGCCAAGGTATTGTATTGTAATAACTTATTTTAAGTTATTGTAATTTGGTATATGTCGGAGTGAAAGTAGTAACAATTTGATAAAGTAGTATTTCTTAGGTGTTGATTGTAACCTGTACTACGTGGTTCTCGATCCCGGAGACGTATGTGTGCTGATCAGTGGTTACATAAATGTTAACATGGTGTTAATGTGTCTGCAGCATTGCACACGCTGGCACTAAGCTGCTGTAGGGAGCCATGGTGGTAATAGCTGACTGGCTGTGTGGGGGCTGTGCTTTGGACTTTCACCAAGGTGACCATGGGTTGATTGAGCATGTGTGTGACTAAAGATTTATGAAGTAAAGTGTTACACTTGGCATGTTTTGAGATGAATGAGGTTGTTGCACATTCAAGCATAGCTTATGTAGATGTTAATGCTATGTATGTTGTAATATGATCTTGGTGGGTTATCCTTTTCAGAGGCACGGGTGGTTGCAGGACATATAGGTCCCTCCAGAGAGGAGAGATTTTCTCAATTATGGTTTTTTGTCATTTATAAATTCTGTGTGAGTAATATGTAAGTATTGCACATCATACTTCAGTGGTTATCTCTCCTCTAAGAGGCCTTGGGTTTAAATTTCAGCCCAATGGTTGGCTGTCCTGGCTGAGATGTTTTGTGATTTTCCTCAATCCTTTCAGGCAAATGCCAAAATAATCATAATGTTCTTTTCAATTGCAAGGTTGTTAAACCTGGAGTATTATTTTCAGTAGTGTTAACAACTCCATCGTTCATCTTAACAACAGCTTGTTAGTTAAATAGCATGGGCAAATACACCTTCTAAATTTTAATTCACTTTGGGTATCACTGAATTTTTGACCAGTGTCCATGGTGTAGAAGGAATATGGTTGTAACGAAGGATAACCGATGTAAAGGTGAGTGCATGACCTACTGGTATTAAATGCAAAGGTGGATGGTGGTTTTCCTACTCTACTTTATTTCCGTTATTAACAATAATGGCCACTGAGACACATGAACCTAAATGTAATAATTAATGCATGAGCTTCTGAGGTACAGTTATCTTAGTTTATATAACAAAAATTAATGCAGTAATGCACCTCTTGTGGGGGTCCAGAAAAAAATTTATTGATTACAAGGTCCCCAAATTTAACCCACCGAGATATTTTCCTTTGGGCTGTACTGAAGTGAGAGTTATACATGAATGAGCCTCACACGACTGATGACCTTGAATCGTTCAGAAAGAAACTGAAGCCATTTTTGCAGACACGCTAAAATATGTATCTGCCAGTTTGAAGCACCATGTCTAGTTGTTAATGGATGGCCACTTTCCACATGTTAGGCAGTTCAGTTCGGTGAAGTATGAGGTATGTTTACTCTGCAATAAAATTCAAGCTCTTAATATTTCATAAGTCTGAAACATGAAGTTGTCTATGTTTAGGCCTGGCATCTTAATTCCAGTATCATAATTCATAATTTCCTTCTTTTATCTGTATGTCGCTTTTCTGTGCCTTACATGAATTATTGTTGTTTATGCCAGATGTCTGTTAAGCAGACACCAATATGTAGCACTTTTCTGAGAGGTGTGACTAGGTTCTGTGGCAGAATGAAGGTGTGTCATTTGCACATTTATTCTGTAAAGCATACCAATTACTTATACAAAATATAAATTGTTATGAAGATTTCTGTCTTCTGCGTTGTTCCGCTGTGTAGTCTGGTCGATGTTTACCAACGTTTCAGAGGTCATACTGCCCTGATGATGGAGGCAGTATGACCTCTGAAACGTTGGTAAACATCGACCAGACTACACAACGCAGAAGACAGAAATCTTCATACTGACCACTGTGAAAACCTCAAATCTTACATAAATTGTTATGTTAACTCTTGAAAGAGCTGTTTTCAAGATATATCATATTTAACAGTATGTCCTGAAACCCTGTGCATGCCAAGATGCATGTAAAATTCAGGGATTTTAGCTCTTTTTTCACAGAGTGTACCTAAAACATGTGATCACCATTGGTGCATAAATAATGGTTTTGTTTCTGAAAATCTGGGGCCTCAAGAGTGAAGGTGACCCTCTGGGTGTGAAACGGACATCCTCTGGGCAGGGCAAATTAAGGACAAGTGCATGTAGTTTGACATAATGGCATTTTAATTTTGTAACAAAGTATATTTGGTTTTTGTGGATGTTGAGTTCTTCCCTCCTCCACGAAGTCTTTAGTTTAATTAGTGGTCATGTGACAAAAAACTGGCATATTCCTTCTATGTACTTAGGTAACATGTTTATGCCTGATGCAGGTACTGAATGTTGCTAATCTGAATGGTATTCAGCTGCGCACTGGCTGCTTCTGTAATCCTGGGGCCTGTCAGCGACATCTAAAACTCTCAGACGATGATCTCAGGAGTCAATTCCAGGTGTGCACATGATAACTCATAATGTCCAGAGTTCAAGGTCAATCAGTTTTAAGAGCTGCATCCTGTTGTATGTTGAATGTTAGGATGACAGTCCATCTACACAACGATTCTTTATTGTAGTTTCAATGTTTATTAAGATTCCACGACATGTTTTGACCTTCATTGGTCATCTTTAGGTGGTTCTCTTTAAGTGTTTGAAACTAATAGATGTGACTGCTGATTTGTATACACATTTTCTGCTGTAGCATGTCAGCTACAGCTTTCAACCGGTAACTACACACCTGCATAGTCCACTCTACTAAAACAGGTAAGCTTCTTAAGACACAGTCCATTACATGACGAAGTTAACAACAGAAAACGTGTATATAAATCAGTAGTCATATCAGTTAGTTTCGTACACTTAAAGAGCACCACTTGAAGATAACCAATTAAGGTTGAAACGTGCAGTGGATTCTTAATAAACATTGAAACTGTAATCAAGAATTGTGTTGATGGACTGTTAACCTAATGATTAAGGTCAATACTTTGTTTATTTGTTTCATTCACTAATGGGTATGTTGTGATTGATATTATTTAGTGCTGCTTTTATGTGTAAAATACATGTGTGATATTACGAAGACGGAAAATAATTGTAATCTCTAATTAAAGGATGAAGTGCCAGTATGTGGTATTAAAACAAACAGGACTGATAAGAGATAACAGAACATCTAACTGTTTGGAAACCTAGGATGCAAGTGATAACTGACATTTCATGCAATTCCTACAGTTTGAAGGAAATAAAATTTTCATAAAGCCTTAGCTAGAATCTTAAAACTTTGCATACCGTGTTGTGTATTAGAATATAAAATAAGCAAACAAACAAACTATTCACTCTATAAAGAGACACTAGTGCCATATGCGTTTCGAACTCAAGAGGTCATCATCAGTGGCAAAAGGGAATTAATTCGTATAATCAAAAATGGTTTTAAAAAACAAATCATGAAGTTGAGTTCTTTACAAAACCATAACAAGCAACACTACACTGGATGTTGGTCTCACAGGAGTTGTACTCTGTACCTAGCTATTGGTCCAATGGTCCAGTGGCCATTGCTGGTCTGCGACGAGCCGTGGTCGCGTCGTCCGTGCATGGACGACGTAACCACAGCAACCAGCAGTCGGTTTATTTACTGTAACTGCCCGATTCCAAATGACACCATTTACACTACTGATCCCCAAATAACAACCCATCTCTCTCCCTTAAGTGCTGTCTTTTTTTTTTTAACCTGAGTAAGTCTTATTTATTAATGCAGAAGTTTCAGCATGCATTGTTATTGAAATTTAACTGAATCTTCCTGTGGAGCCAGTAGGAATAAAATGGCATGGCACTTAATCAGACTTTATTTGAATGATTAACGTTGCATTTATATTGCCACACACACAATGGTAAATTTTGGCTTCAGTGGGGCATTCCCTTTGAAATTACATAGGGAATTTGTTTCAGTGCTTTAATGGGCAGAGCCACGGTGGTCTAGCGGTCAGAACACTAGCCTTGTAATACTGGGGTCCCGGGTTCAATTCCCCGTGGTGCTCAGATTTATAACTTGTGTTGGGCAAGGTCGTGGTATAGGCATCACGGAGTTTTCCTCCGGGGGCGTCCCCGGTTTCTCCGTGGCATCCCAACAATTACTCCACTCACACACAGAAGAAGGCAATGGCAAACCACTTCTGGATCATCTGCCAAGAACGTATATGAACAGGTCCCAGTCCAAGAAAAGGATGGAAGGATCCTGTTCATAATATATGGACCTGTCATAAGACAGAACACTAATAATAATAAAAAAAAATGGGCAGAATGCAAGGGCAGTGATACATAGAGTGGTGCTGTATATACAGGATTATTAACGAACCTGTTTAAGACAATGAACAGTAATTGTTTCTTTCAGGCAGGCCACATATGTGGAGACGACAAAGATCTGGTGAATGGACAACCCACTGGTTCAGTTCGAGTCTCTTTTGGTTATATGACAACCAAGAATGATGTTGATAAATTGATTAACGTGTTGACATCCTACTTTGTGCATGGCTCCCCAGTCAGAAAACTGCCTGCATGGTGGCCGGCCTTCCAGCAAGCTTACAAACAAAAATTCCAGCCTGCACGTAGGAAACATGATGGTCTTCTGAATGTAGACAGAATGAAGTCACCCGCTATTTTACATGGAGTACCAGACATAAAAATACAAGCTCCTATCAAGTCACAAACAAATGCAAGTAGCTTGGAGACTAGTTCAGTTTCAAATTACGGCCAGCAAAATACAATGTCAGATGGAAATAGTATTGCATTGACATGCATATATGTATACCCTGTCAAATCTTGTGGGGCTGTGCGCATGGAGAGCTGGTACATTGGATTAAGGGGTCTTCTATATGACCGTGAGTGGATGGTGGTGACCCCAGCTGGTGTCTGTCTCACTCAAAAGCAAGACGCAAAACTCTGCCTCATTCAACCTAATGTGGATCTCAGTAGTAGGTCACTGATCCTACAGTTCCCAGGTGAGTATTACATTGTTTATAACGTTGCGTAACAAATGTAACAAAACTGTTACGTAAGATGTTTAGCCTTAAATGAGATGAAAAGATGTTTATGTTTGTACAAACTATGAAGGATTGGTGAGGAAACAGTTATGACCTGTTTAGAGAGACAATTCTGTTTTAAAATTTAAGATAAATTTGATTTATAATAATTATAAAAAATTATGAAGTACAAAACCACACACTATGTCCTTCAGCTGTGGGAACTTAATTCAATCTAACAACACAGTATATGATGCAATGAGGTATGTCATATGTGGTTTTGACTTGCTCTGTAACTGAGTTTTACCATTAAAAGAAAGTTATCTGAATGCTAAATGAAAAATGTATATCAGTTCACAGAAGGAAGGGAATCTTCATGTCTTGTGCCTGGAACAATTAATGAAAATATAACTGATAGGATAGTAGTCTGCGGGCCATGTTTTTGAACCTGAGATATCAAAATACGAAGCAGAAATGCAAACAACTCAATCATGAGATTTGATAAAATAATGTTATATATTTTACTTGTGAAAATTATTTGAAAGCTGTCAAGTAATGTAGACTCTGCAGTGAGATATTCTGCAACAGTGTGATTCAAAGCTGGATCGGAAACAGTGTACTGTAAAGAAGATGGCTGTGGGAGAACATCAAATCCTACTTATAAAATTTTCTTTGCATTATGCTTCATTCCTTCGAAGATAATGAGCACGCTCTGGCAAGTCATGTGACACAATGTGCAACAAAAGTCAAGCACTTGAAATATTCTAAGTCTGAGACCAGAATTGATGTACGCATACAGTTGCCATCATAATACCATTCAATCCTTATTTCCGACCATATGTGGATTTTATCAACATTCAATTAAATAAAACTATTTATGCCACATGTCTGTTGGGCCTAGGAGAGAAGACGATGGGGCATGGAGAAAACTGCATAATGATGACCTTAAAAATCTGTACTCCTCCCCCAGTATTGTCAGGGTGATTAAGTTGAGAATGAGATGGGCGGGGCATGTAGCACGCATGGATGAAGCAAGAGGTGTGCAACGGGTACTGGTTGGGAAACCTGAAGGGAAGAGACCGCTGGGGAGACCTAGACGTAGATGGGAGGATAATCTCAAGCGGGATCTATGGGAGATAGGAGTTGAAGGAGACTGGATTTTGTTGGCCCAGGACAGGGTCTGGTGGAGGGCTTTGGTTAATTCGGTGATGAACCTTCGGGTTCCGTAAGCCATCTAGTTAGTTATTTAGTCTGTCAAGCAAAGACACCATTATGTCTGCCTAATTTGAGAAATTACATGAATTAATGTTAATGACTTTACCAAGTTCAACAGCAAAACAAAACTGAACACTACACTTCTGCTCGATACCTGTATCACACGTTAGATGGGTCACTAGCATTGATATGAAGACCACATGCAAGTCATAGTCTTCATATTTGTCTTCTCTTTTTAATGTTTATTTTGTATTTGCATAAATACTAATTGTTTTCTTCACTTGTAGTCTATACATTGTACATACATCTTTATTACAGTTCATTGAAAATTTTGATGCTTGCATAATATGCACTCCCTGAAAACATGAGCAGTTGGCCTATGAAACGATTCTTATGCTTTAAAACCATAATTGTACTGAATTCTTGCTATAAGAGCCTCTGAACCTGTCTGAGAGCTGTCAAAGTGCCATACCTGCAGAGTGAAGAGCAATGTTTACTACTCAGATAACTTCTTTTTTATTGCAGAAATGCCGCCAATTTCGGTACCACTCGATGATCCAAAAAACCACAATGACGGCAGAGTAGAAGCTTCGCTGTGTCAGAGCAAAGTGTGTGGGGACAGGGTTCAAGGTTGGGACTGTGGTGATGATGTGGCATCATGGTTATGTGATGCTTTGGGGCGTCAGGGGTTGCGTTTGATTCGCCAGTGGAATAGTGACTCGAGAGTGAGCAAGGAGAAAATGAAATCGAGAGGGCAAGGTCAGTTCTGTCTGGTGTAACTGTACTGTCCAAACCTCTTGCTTATGTAATAATAAAGTGATACTGTTTTTGCACTGGAAAAGTCAGTTATAAGTTCCAGTAACCATAGCAGAAATTTAGAATCATAGAAAGTGGTTTTAAATATCTTTATTTCAAGGAAAACTGATAGTAAGTTATGTCCGTCTTTTGTTTGGTCTCTTCAGACAGCAATCAGAAGTCAGTTCTGTCACTGTCGAACCAGGCACAATTTCTGCTTGTGAACAAGAGCAGCGTTCAGTGGCTGAGTGATCAAATTGACTGGGAACAATCTGACTGTGACAAGGTAAATAGAAATAACAAACTGACTGAAAAGTCATGCAACTGATTCCTGACACATGTTCTATTTGTTAAAAAAATAAATTACACTGAATTCTGAAATCAAACAACAATCTTAATTAATCGTTGGAAATACGAACTGTGCTCGACAGAGCACGCATTCATTTTTCTCAATAGCTCAGTCATTATAGTGACTAGCTACGGGCTGGACGACCGGGGTTCGATCCCCGACGGGGGCAGAGGATTTTTCCTCTAGCCTCTGCGTCCAGACCGGCTCTGGGGCCCACCCAGCCTCCTCTACAATGGGTACCGGGGTCCTTTCCCGGGGGTAAAGCCGGCCGGGGTGTGATGCTGACCACTCACCCCCATCTAGTGCCGAGGTCAAGGAAGAGAGGAGCTATACGTCCACTCACCCCAAACGCCTACATGGCGTATAGTGGGACAAACTTTGCTTTACTTTACTTACATGCTTGATGGAACCCAGTGAAGTGCTCCTGTGTCACTGAAATGCTTAGCTGGATGACATATTAGTATTTATTTGGGACAGGAAAATTGGGAAATACATCCTTAATTTACTCTGGCACGATAAGTGAGAACAAGATTCCAGCTAACATTTCACAGTGAATACTTATTGTACTTGTAAAAAATACATTCTTACACTAAAAACTCTTTGAAGACAACTGATGGACTTTTGTGAGCAGGATGCAACATGACATCACCTGCGTGGGCTCTTGTATAGTCATAACAATATTCTGTGTTTATTACGACGTAACTCACTCCCTGGTAGAAGAACCCGCAGCCACCAATAAATATTTTAATATGGGTTGAATGACTTTATCATTCTGTATTTTCTAAGATTGCGCAAGATAGAACTAATTCATTCTTGAATTTCTAGGTTGGTGACCCTTCTTAAATTCATTTACGTTGCTGTGCGAGTCTCAATAATGTTTGTATTTCAGAAGTTCCCTTTTTGATTCTGAAATGTGTAATAGTTTCATGTCGTACGTTGTTCGGATTAACGCCCTTCATTTGACTTGAATTATGCGACCATTGCAATTTAGCCTGCTTCCTCTGATCAAATAATTTTGAGCATTACTCGTCAGAACTTCAATTAAACTGCTTTACATTGTAAGAACCTATTTTAAGTTTATTGTTCTCTCTAATGCCTTACCATGCCCTGTAACTAGGGGAGCATGTTTACGATTTTCAGGAGAGTCTGCTGGAGCGTTTTCGTAGCAACCTGGTCATACAGGGCCTGAAGCCATTTGAGGAGAACGAATGGACACACTTCCAGATAGGAAGAGTGAAATTCCAAGTGAGACGTACTTATTATTTCTCATCATTCCACATGCTTAACTGAACTTGATTAGTGTCAAGAATTGGGTTAATGTTGTTCCAAAGCAGAGCCAGGGCTGAAGAAGAGAAAGGGTGAAAGGAAAATGAATGGGGTGCTCACACGTAGGAGTGCGTTCACAAAACAACACAGATGCCGCGCACAAAAAGTGCACACGCCAGAGGGTGCGCGGTCTATCCATATGACACAGTTGTCATGCTTTGCATGTAAACCAACACATTTGTCATTCTTCCAGGAAATAAGTCAACTGAACTCAGGTGCATTTTTTAAATTTACGTTGCAGTCAGAGGGCCCGTGTACACGCTGTCAAATGGTTTGCATCGATCAGTCAACTGGTGTGAAGACACGAGAACCTCTGAGGACTCTGGCAGCAGCGTTTCTTGGCAAGATGAAGTTTGGAGTGTACTTAAGTCGAGTAGCTGAAGGGAATGTGAGGATTTCAGTTGGAGATGAAGTAATTGACCATTTTACTTTCAATTAAATACTGTCTGAGATGGGAACCAGAAGCCTGTTGGAAAGCAGTCACGAGACAAGGGACGAGCCCCCTACCTCTCAGACTCTGTAGACAAATGTCGTTTTGTCACTGCAAATTCTAGCGAATTCAATAAAGCATTTTTAAAGAGTCTAAAAACGTTTTACTGTCCTTTATTGTATGTAATGAATAAGTGTAACAGAAACTCACCATTGCTATAGGAAGTGCAAAGCCACTGAAAATCTTCGTAACACATCTGATTTGACAAATGTAACCGACTGTGGATCATTTTTAAAAGAAATTAACTCTTGGATTAATACTGTTATAGATCATATGGTATGAAGTTTTGTCTTTTGTTGTCATCTTTGGCACAAAGAACTTTGGTAATGTTTTGAAAGTATCGACAAACATAATTTCTAAAGACGTTCCAAGATTTCAAAAAAAGTAGAGTCTTTTTAAAGACTGTGGCATTGATTGTTACAAACTGTAGTTTACTGCATCATAAATACATTTATTTTTTCAACTTCTTACTTCTTTTATGCAGATCATCACTTTAATGCCTCGGAAGTAAAAACGTAACATAAATACAGAAATCGAACAAATAAAAATGAAGAAAACCAAGTTACATCAGCAAACTTGAGAACAGCTGTAAATGTACAGTGAATTCTTCCCCACCGAGTGTATCTTGTAAGGGAACTGATCTAAACAAAGGTTTGTAAAGGAAGAGTATTTTTGTGTTAGCGGTCTGGTACAAGAACACATTGTGGAGTTGAGAGCTATTTTATCACCATGCTCATGATTGGTTATATATATATATGTAGTGATCCTCTGCTTTTCCTGATATGTATTACTGATCTGCCCCCAACCAATAATTCTCAGCCCAAACCTGTACCATTTGTGAAGCACACTAACCCTTCAGAGTGGGGGCATTTAATGTGCCGTGGGAGAATTTTAATCTTGGGATTTCAATTTGAGCTTGAAAGTGCATCATTTTACTTAGATGGACATGGACACAACTTCTCTAATAATTGATTAATTTTAGTGAAACTTTGAAAAAATGTTCGCAACACACCATACTTTACAGATATTTAAAAAAATGTACCTTGAAAGTTGAGTTTCATGTGGTATTTTTGAAGCAGCCCTCAACACAGCCCAGCTTCACAATCTGGACACCAAAACACTCTTCTTTCTCAACAACAAACACACTACACAACACTTTGTAGGCCATGACTTTTTCTCTGTTGGAAGAATTCTCTCCGGAAAATGTCTTTTAATTAATCGAGGCACAGTCTTGTTTGTGGAATGTCTCCCTGGCACTTCATCTACCTCACCACCATGATCAACAAGGAGAGCCTGCATTAGGTCCACCTTTATATCAAGTGGTCAATTTTGATACCTGTTGAATTTTCCCTGAAGATCATCATAGAATTTAGAGCTGTGGCATTTAGCAATCTTTGAAACAGTTTGGTGGGTCATTTTCTTTTTTTCCAAGAGGTATGTGTGAAACTATCATGTTTTGGTTATAGTCCTGTGTCGCTCCATTTTAGCACAGATATAGGGCCAGAATGTTGAACTATTAGTTCCCCCCTTCTTTAGCTTATCTGTGACAGCTTTAGGCACATCTTTCCTATTTATTCAGAGAGTACCAACACAGTCATTATTGATTTCAGTATCTGAGCCAGTGACGGTGCATTGTAGAAGTTGTCCATCCACAGTATATGACTCTGCTAGAAATAATACAACAGCTGATGTTTGTATCCTCTGATCCTTTCCAGTGTAAATATGAATGACTGCAAATATTCTGAACTGGACTTGCAAAGCTCATAAGTCTTGATTCCAAACTTGATTATTTTAGTGGAATATACTGCTTGAATGACAGTCTTCCTGTCCATGAAGTCTGTGACTCTTCTATTGCAATATTCTGACCTGGTCTGATTTTTTTTTTCAGATTGGAAATTACAGTATATATTTTAAAACGTTTTGGATGCCCATGGTGTGTCTTTGCTGTAATTGTTACTGAAGTGAATCAATTTACAGACAAATTGAAATCTGTAGAAATAACAGAGCCGAAGATATGTGTTGTCAAAACAGAATGTTTTTAAAAAGTAAGACTTCAGGGTAGGATTTTGTACTATTCCCATTAATATTAAAAGTACCAAGACAACGTACATTTCATCATCAGTGACAGGTTTACATTCCCTTACACTTGATCGAAAATGTATGGGAAGGGTCGTAGAATTTATGCATTACGCTACATTGCGATTAATTTCATACATGATTAAAGCTATCAGCTCGTGAGTGAAAAAGAGTTTGAACACAGTCACATTTTCCCCTTCGTTCTTAAGTCCACAATTACCTACAAACTGTTTTCTTTGTTCTATATAATTGTAAATGAACACCCATCAAAAGCTATAGCACGCGCCACACTTCTCGGTAAACCACTGCGCACCGTCAGTCTTCATTTTCAGATTCACAAAGAGTAAGAAATCCACGCACAGGTAAATAATCGATTACATATCGACCACGGTAGTTTCGGAAACAGTGAGAGGTTCATCCACGGTGTTATCAATATTTTCAGGAGACAAAAAACGTCTGCTACTCGGAGCCATGATCATGGCCGACTAAGGGCAGACTTTAGTACAAAAGAAGTACGTTCATACGAAGGGGGGGAACAAAAAATGCATTGAACCTTTCAGTTGATGTTATATACTGCTGGAGAACTTGCGATGTGCCCTACGCAGCTGTCGTAGCCGTTTCTATATTATTTCATTCATCTTCGGTAGAGAGAGCCACAAACAGACTGAATGCAATTCAGATCAATAATCGATCTATATTTCAAAGGGGGAAAGCAATGGTAAAATCGATCTTTCAGAATCATTTTATGTATCATTCGACAGCCTGCTTCTTTATCCATAGGCCTACTGAATACTTAAATTTCAAACCGAGTCGCTAGGCATGAAAAGTCGAAGTGCGCGATACGCGAGCAACGTTCGGTACTCCACGCCAAGTGATGGATGATTACGTTATGCCGGACAGTGTTCGGCACTCCACGCTGAAGGGCTGATTCCTCTTTCAGTATTTAATTTTCAGGAATATAACTACGGGTGATGCATTTTGTACATTGTTTACCATGTCACATTTTTATGTGTCATTTTGTACTGTAATTTGGGATATAATATGTGCATAAATCCAGTAACTCTTTCCTGAAATTCTAGCTTGTTTTTAAGTACTCTGTTTTAGCCCGGACTTCACACTGTTCCTCCCATACAGAAGTGGTAAAAGTCATTGATTTTTGTCTATTTTGCAAATTTGGCTCATGGGAGGGGGAAGTATATCACAGAAATTCATAGTAAAAAATGGTAGGTACAAGCAGTATTCCTATTTGAAAGGAGACAACACCAGGAAGAGTACAATTTTTTACAGGATGTCCCTGTCAAACCTCCACCATTTCAAATCATCACAGCTAACTAACTAACTAGATAGCTTACGGAACCCGAAGGTTCATCACCGAACTCACCAAAGCCCTCCACCGGACCCTGTCCTGAGCCAACAAAATCCAGTCTCCTTCAACTCCTATCTCCCATAGATCCCACCTGATATTATCCTCCCATCTACGTCTAGGTCTCCACAGCAGTCTCTTCCCCTCAGGCTTCCCAACCAACACCCGGTGCACACATCTTGGCCCATCCATGCGCGCTACATGCCCCGCCAATCTCATTCTTCTCGACTTAATCACCCTGACAATATTGGGGGAGGAGTACAGATTTTTAAGCTCGTCATTATGCAGTTTTCTCCATGCCCCATCGTCTTCTCTCCTAGACCCAAATATCCTCCTCAACACCCGATTCTCAAACACCTGCAATCTATGTTCCACCCTCAGAGTGAGAGACCATGTTTTGCACCCATGACCGAAGTTCCCATTGTCTCTTGTACAGTGTTGCAAGCACTGAGTATGCCAGCCACATGCCTGACCTTCCAACATTACAAGCCCGCATCCATGATATGAACGAAGACGTAAGCGTGCGATAATGTCTAGCTTTATATAATGAATGGACATGATAAAACTGCAGCAAAAAGTTCATCAGTAATTCAACAAACTTCCATAGTCCTTGTTTACACACATTCCGTGCATCAAGATTCCAGGTTGTTGAAACAAAACTATTTGGTATCTGGAAAGTTATCTTTGGGAAAGAAAAGAGGCGTGTCATTTGAAAAGTGTACTACGGCTTTCAAGACGCACGCAGGCTGATGAATCCCGATCGCAAAGCTGCTGTAAATAATAAAGTAATTGGGTAGCATTTGAAAAATGTCTTTCTGAAAAGAAGTGACATTATGAATAAAAATATCAACTGTCACAGAAATGAATTCAAAACTAATATTTTTATTCTTATAAAACAAAATTCACATTATAAACAATGCATATCCATGCATATAATATAACATAACACTCGGTCACCTGCGTACTTAACTTTACAGGACCCTCATCTATTTATCAGTTATTTTATTTACACTGACGTGCTCTAAAGTAAAATAAGAATCAAAACACAAACCTATTATGAGAAAGATTCATGCTTCCTCCGCAACTGCCTGGGGGGTTACCGCCATTATTACTGTCCTGGTCAGGATTATGTGGGCCACGTCGAGAGGATGGTTGCTGCTTGCCCCCTCTTCTGCGCCTCTTGTCCTCATTCCACATTTCCTGTAGGCACTCGATATCATCGTATTTAACGAGCTTCACGAGGTCGGGGTGGAGTGACGGCAGAGACAAGAGATCAACAGCGGGCTGCAGTTTCTCTTCAGGCCTAGCGTAGAAAAGGATGTAGGGAGTGTCTGGAGGACTCCACGGAGGAGAATCACATGGGGCCACCAAAGAATCATTAAAAATTTGCCATGACAGAGTTTCATCACATGCTAATGTGTAGTAATGACCCGTGTCGATATCTGATCCCGAGTGGATCACCGCTGCGTATAACTTATATGACTGCCGGTACAACTCGATGCTCTCGGAGCAATGAACCCAGTGAAGAAGTTTCGCTCGCTCTCCTGTCTGAGAATTAAACTGGAAGCGTTTGAGTGTCAGCACAAGATGAGACGGTGGCTGTAAAATCTGTATTGTTCGCTGAGCATCCCGCAGTCCACCACATGAGTCGCAATGGTATTGGTTCTCCCCACTCAACTGTTCTGGTGATGTAAAGTAATCCAACAGATCCTGCATACAGAAATAATTGAATTATGAGTAATAATCATTAAACTAAATCAGCCTAGAAATTTACACTACAGTAAGGATTTATAGATAATGTATTAATTCTGTGTTATGCTATCAACATGGAATAAAGCCATTACAACAATAATTCAAACCAGCATGAAAAATGTACTTGAGCTACAACAAATAACTGGTACAGGCAGTTCAACATCTGGAAATATATACAGGATGATTCAAAAGGTTAGGGCCAAACTGAAGGAGCGTATAGCATTAAATATTTTAAAAAAACTGAATGTTTCTCTTTCAAAGTTACTGCTTTTTACCAAAAAAGTCTTTAATGGTTTGTCAAAACTTTACGTTTTAGGCCAAACAGAGCCCTTTCCACGTTCAAAATGTTTTCCTCGTCACGTTCACTAATATTATGTGCATAAAGGTACGACTTCACTTTTGCCAATGCAGCGTGTGCTTCGGCATAACTCGGCACAGCTTCGGGTTCGCGTTCGTTGTCTTCCTCTTCCTCACCACTCCCTACCCCTTCGCAAACAATAACAGGAAGAATGGAAATACTATTACTGCCGAACTCAACGAAACGTAGCTGTAGAAGACACGAGATGAACCAGAAGAATGAAAAGTGTCGCCAGCCTTTCCTTTGTACTTATAATAAAAGCATTTGTGAAGAAATTCACACTGCACATGCCATCTGGCATCGCTGGAAATATGAGTGCACCCTAATTAAACCCGTAAAATTTCTGACAATGGGCACCGCCATTCACTCCAACTATCACCCCTGCACCGCTGACCCCTCATTCCAAAGAATGTGCTGGTTGGGCGACATAACAGGTTACCGCTACTGTGTATTCCAAAAACATTATGCGTCTTTCAGTATTAATTTATCTCTAAACCCAGCATTTTAAATTCTAAAAACATCGCGTAAATTTCGTTATAATTTCTCAGAAACGATCACTGTGGGAAAATTGTGGGCCAGGACTAAGATTTTTGAACGATCGATGCGATAAAACGATAGTTCGAGGAACAAAAGAAGCGGGAAAATGTAACATTATTTTATATGGGATGTATTCGGGACCGAACAAAACAGACGATGCATCCGGGAAAACGATAGTTCGAGGAACGATGGATAGAGGTTTCACTGTATTAAGCTAACCATTTAATCTTTATAGCTAACAGGGTCTCTTTGAGCGCCACTGTTCTAAATGTGTGGACATTAAAGTATATAGCTTCATGGCATAATTCTTAGCCAGAGAGACAACTGTATCTTTTAAATCCATTTGCAAACATTAGACAACTTACAAAATACCTACAAAATTTTAAGTTATAATTCTATTAATAAAAACACAAAAATATGCCAACATGATTTCTTAATATTCAAGAACTCTTTGGAATTTTTCATGATTCTTTGCCCCTTCTAGGCTACCAAACCATTACGAATTAGCTGAAAATACAGAAGTATACACATCTAAACTAACGTCATTCCACAATAAAGTACTTCTTCAATTTGTGAGAAGAGCAACATATGGTTCCATTACCTGAATATGCAGTTTGTGATTAGGACCGCAGTCAGGAGGAAAGGCAAGCGGGATATCTCGGAAGTGATCCGTATGAACCGATTCTGCTTTACACTGGAGGCACTTAAAACTGATGAGCAGGCGTCCCCCAAAACACTGCTGTACCAAGCTCTCATATGGAACAGGAGAAGATGACGTGGTCGCTTTCTCATCTCCACATACTGACTGTATCCCACTGTCCGTTGAAATTGAGTGGAAGTTGCTCAGCTGCTGCACATCATCCCCCGTAGCTGCAACATGAAATACACATCAGCTGACCTAGAGATATGCAGTCCGCCTTCTAACTAAACTAAAATAATTCCATGTTAAGTTCATACACAGATGGTGATAAGAATAAATCCTACTTGGGTCTGAATTATTTTACTGCTTGCAACTGTAATATATAATAAATATACAGTAAAACCTCTCTAAGTTGGACACTTGGGGTTCCACGAAAATGTGTCCAACTTACGGAAGTGTCCAAGTTCGCTTCCCCATCGCAAAAAGAAAAATTCCATTTCTGTTAACACAGTCTGAACTCGAATGCAAGCACAGTACTGACGGAGTTAAAACTGCGTCTTCTGCAATACTGTAGTCCAGTTAAGTGTTTCTCATCATGAAAGTGTTTAATCAAATGCCTTTTTAACATTTACGCATGAGGAATTTGCCACTTCGCATTTCATATACAAATTTTGTAGTGGAAATAATTGCTAACAGCTAGTTCCTAGCTGCTAGCAGTTTCAAATTGCATAGTTCACACTCAAATTTGTTTTACAATAAATAAATAAATAATTTTGAGAGACTGGTTCCTTCCTATGAGAAAATACAGAATGTGAGTAGCGATAGTGCAACAGAGAAGTTGATGTTCTTGGGTATTCACTGAAGCAAGCCCACATGTGAATGTACAAAGAATCTCTGCATAGATCATCGCGCATCGTGTTGTACCCTATATGCCCCTTCATAATTCTATGACGGACGTCACGATGTGCGTTACAACGGACGTACTTTGTACGGTCGTGTGGCCCCAGCCTAAGGTGTAAGATTTGGAGAAAACATGACAGTGCTTTAGTTTGACTGAAATCCCTGCATTTTTTATTGTCACACTGCAAGTTTCTTTCTTGCTCTCTTGAAGAAACCCTGTGGGGCAGTAGAAGCAAGCGATATCTAAAACCACGCCCTTTGCAGACATCTAGTATTTTAATTCTTTTAGCCTCAGTTAATCACTGCAGACAATTTAAATAAAAATAACACTTTTGATAAAAGTACTGTGTTTATAAAAAGATAATTTAAAGAATTTAAAATTATCTTTAACTGATAATTAAAAAAGTGTTTTTCTTTTAGAGGAAGTGAAGTAGGTTACTTTCTACTACTTTTGTTTACATATAAATGTGTATAAAATGCAAATGCTGATGTTAATACATTATAAACATGTATATATGGGTCTTCAAGGAGGCTATGAGGACATGTGGAATGCATGTGCAAGATAAGAGAAATTAATGTGTGGCAGTAAAGATAATGTCTTAAGGAAAAGATGGACGACATTAGTTAAAAATGAGAAGTTGCATTTAACCAAAAAGGGATGGCATGAATACAGATCAGCAGAAACTGCCAAAGAAAACAAAAATGAATTGAAAAGTGGAGTCGGGGGTAAAGGAAAGTGAATGTGTGTCCTTGCTGTCTCACCCTGTGTAACATCAGCCAGGGAGTGGGCCTTGTATTCCAGGGTGTTCGGATATGAGAGATCTTCTTCCGTCATCCAGCGTACCATAGCTCCACCTGTTGCTGCCTCCACGGAACTTGCCTTTGCTCCCCCATCTCCTGTACTTCCTAATACAGTTGATTCTGAACTTGTTGTGGCATGCATCTCTTGCTCATGCAAAACATCCAGCAAATACCTACATTCAAAGCATCATATAAAGATTCAAAACTTACCATGATCAATCACATACTCTGAAATTCCTCTTTCTAGATATAAAATCTTATAAAAATTTATTACATCTAAAAGGACCCATCGTTTTTATTAAATGGAGATCTTTGTTACAGTGAGGTTCAGAGTATTAAAATTTTTTCTGCCTACCAAACCCATCGACTGTGTTAATTCAGTCTGATATATTACGCACTCTTTTATACGAAATAGACAACGAAGGTGTCGACTTTATTTAACTGCATTATTTCTGAAATAACTGTATGGATTTCCATCAAATTTAGTAATCGGTTGGAGCAGTGGCTCCACACTAAAAGCTCTCCAGCAAATTTGATTTTGGTTTGCTTTGGTCCAATACAATGCCTACTTTACATGAAGCTCAAAATAAATTCTACAGATTTCCTAAAAAATGGCCAAGGGTATTTGTGTTAATATAAAGCACGTACCTAATTAGCCCTTTCAAGTCAAAATTATTAAATATTTAAAGTCTGAAGTACATGAGTTATACTTTATGGTAAAACAATGAAGAGAAAGATATTCACATCGATCAATTTCCTTTAATTGTGGGAATTATTTTTCCTGTTAAACTTGAAAGTGTTAATGTCTACAAATGTTACATAACACATTTTTATATGGAGATGGCTGTCTTCGGGGTTGATGCACAGTGTAGTATGGTAGAAATTTACCAACGTTACAGAGGTCCTTGCTGCCTCCATCATCAGGGTGATGATGAAAGGCACAGTATTAAATAACTTAATGCTTACATAATGAGGCAGGCCACTGGTCTGACTATAACCTATAGTCACTGCACTATATCACAGAGTTTTGTTCTGGTATACCAAAACTCTTAATAAATATTATCTAATAGTTTAATAAACAAGGAAAATAGAGCTGGGATACCCATACTTTCCCCATAGCCTTGAGTTTTATACATGAGCCCACATCTGGCTATGGGAGTTGAGGGAAGCCTTCACAAAAATTGCTGCAAAACCCATAATTTCTCAAAATCTGAGGTTGGCAGGCTAACTGCCACTTCTCAGGAAGTTTGATTACAAATCCTTCACTTGTTTGCACCAATACACGGCCATTTTTCGAACAGTAAATTCAACTATGCACGTGTCCTATAAAGTAACATGAAATGTAATGTTGGAAGAATATTTATATATGATACTTTTTCTTGAAGGAAATGTAAACTACAGTTTCACATAAAATTTCCTGAAAGTGCAGTACCTTCCGAAGACACAATTAACAAAACAGTGTCCCTTCCAAAACCCAACCCTTGGCGTTGTCATCATGCAGCGGGGGTAACGTCTTTGAAAGGTGAACGGAGCTCGGTCCACTGAGGTGTGAAGTATCGTACCAAGGTTGCATGGCACTGAGTCAATAATAGAAGTGTTGTTAATTATCTCTTTGGGGCATTGAGAAGTATCCCACTGTATCAATACCTTCCACATGCGGGTGGCTATTTTTTGTTCCCCAGCTCTCACGGAATGAAAATGGAACACAAGAATAAAAGAGTCCTTTCGATATTGAGTCTTCATCCGAAAGTTGATCCTTCTAAGCAGGGAGCCAGCAGTTCAGGCATATCACCTCACGGAGCTTACAGTATCAGCCAACCCAAGAAATGTGAGATGACAACTACGAGATCCTGTTATGTAAGCTAATGTACTTCATCGAAGGTACAGAGCTGTCAGTGGTTGGGTTGTAGTACTGTGAAGTCTGGTAGAAGTTTACCGATGTTTCTAACGGGCTACAACCCAGAAAAAGCCACTTTCATACTCGCTGCTGTAAGAAATCCTACAAATGATGAAACATCTCAACCACAACAGTTTGAGGATTTCTGATAATCGTCAATCTTCACATTCCACATATTTTTTAACTGAATCTGAATGTTGTTCCCATCATGTTTCTTTAACACAGTACACAATATCATCTGTTGTATTCGTACGCCGCAAGGTCATGTAAAGTGTAGAATTAACAGAGATTGATTTTCACTGAACACTTGGACACTGGGACCGTGGGTTTGAATCCTACTCAAGGCATGGACGTTTGTCCGCGTCTTTCTGTGTACAGGTAAAGGCCTTGCAACGGGCTGATCAGTCCAAGGAGTCCTATCAAATGTCTAACAGATCAAGTAAACTACCACATGGGAGTAGGCCAAGGACCACAGAAAAAAATTACACAATTAAATTTTGTGAGGGCTGTTCAAACAATAACAGGACTGCAAACACGAACAGTTATTTGAGAATAGAGAAATGGCACAATAGGAGTCTTGAATTTGGATCTACAACACAGCATGTACCATTTCAAGTGCAACTCAACAACAATCATATACTAGGGTACAAAAATGAAATCAAATGCAGGTCCACCTCCACATAGTGCTCTCCCAACCTCCTCCATAACACTCAAGTTTGAAGCGACCCTGGTTGCAGAATATGTTCATTCTCAAACATTACTTCACATCAAAATCATTTTTTGCTGTTTATGAAGTATTTATCAATGCACATCCTGACAAGTACTCAATTGGTTTCCCAGGTTGTTAATGGCTGATCAAATACGGTACTGAGTCAATACCATGTCAAGAACTCAAAAGAGGTTTCAAAGAGCTCAGTTACGCTGTATAAAGTGAAGCTTTTGTGGCGACTGAAGCTGATGAAAGACTCTCGGGTTACAAGCTGCGTCAGGTGGCTGAATGGTGAACATCTGCAAGCGCGCTACAAAGGATCAGATTTGTTATGCAGCAGCCGTGAGGATTAGAGCAGAGATTGTTCTTGAAATGTTGGCAGAAGATATGGTTTATTCACCATTCAGCCACCAGACGTGGCTTGTAACCCGAGAGTCTTTTATCAGCTCAGTTATGCATTTCTTCACAATATTACTGCTGATGAATAATGTTAATTACAATCCCACCACCACAAAAGAAAGTGCCAAATGAAAACTCCCAGCTCTATGATCCTGCAGAAAGTAGAAAAAAAAGTGCCAGAAAGATGATAATTTTGTTCATCAACTTTGGCACTGTGCATCAACATGCAGTGTCACATTTCAGATGAAAACAAAATAAAGGAGAAATGGTTATTCCTATTTGTCAAGACAATATACCACAAAATGTGCCAAGCTTTGATTTCAATATGCATCAGAGCTGTACCACATCCTACCTACAGCCTACACTTTAGCACCTTGTGATTTTTCAGCTCTTTCCATAGTTGAAGAAAGACTTCAGGGGCAGAAGATTTCCATAAATTTTAACATGCATTAAAGTGAGAGACGAAAAATGAAAGGTGTTGACAAGAATTGGTTTGGACCAAATTGTTCCACTGACTGGTCAAGCAATGGGTAAGGATTCTGCATTCCAAGGTATATAGAAACTCTGAAAAGAAACATGCTGATCTGAATAATTACATACGACTGGCCCACGACCACTTGTAACATTGCCACTCGTTACTTCTGATTCATTTATTTTCTTTACTGTTAAGGATAAAAAAACCTGTGATTCTATCTCGTGTTATTTGTAAACAAGTGTCACGCATGCTATCAACTTTAAAACCCTACCATAAAACGTTAAGTTTTCCAGGTAAAAATTGTGTTAGATACAAGCAGTTGCAAGAGAAAATGTATAAATAATATGGTACTATATAGTAATTTGTGTACGTTTCAATATAATTTATAACGTAAAAATATACTATTGTAACTTTCCATTTATGAATAACTAAAATTGGCTATTAGTTTTAAAAAAATAGCGTGAGGTGGTGTTTCTTGGCGCTTGGGCCTACCACGAAAACTATTCTTTGCCTGAGGGAGGGAATTACATTACTGTAGGCAGCAGTGAATAGAATTATAATCTCACGTGAGGAACTCGGAACTGTCCTGCTGGTAACCGGGCTGAAAGAATGGTGGTTTTGCCACAGCCAGCAGCTTAGCAGGGGTGATGGCCCGACGTTGGGAGTGAAGAAGAAGCGCAAAAAGAGCTTGAAGTTTCGAGAGTAATGGCTGTGACCGAACACCACTATCCAAAACTGTAGAGCAAAACCTGTGAAAACAAAAATAACCAGGTAACAATCAAGTTTCTATTTTAATAACTTAAAGACTAAATGACTATGAAACAGCAACCAAAAGAGAGAAGGAAGAGAGGGAGACCGAGACCAGGATGGAACGACAGAATTACAAGAATCATGAAAGAGTGGAAACTACCTCCGGAAGGATGGGAAAATAGAGAAGAATGGAGGAAAATATTAGGCACCGGAAGACCGAAGTAACAGTCAAGAAACAGAAGAAGATCAAACTAGGAGACATGGAAGATCAAATCTCATCTTTGGCCATATTAATAACAATCTTATACATTTAGTCTCAACAATAAGATAAGCAGAACTGCTTGATGCATTACAAAGTTTTATTTGTTCCCTAGTACATCAATATCAGCATAATTATTGTACAACAAATGGATCTGAAAACTTCATTTTCACATCTTAGGCAATCTCTCACCCACCTTCTTCCAAAAAGGAAATACGGATAATTAATTTCACTGCCAGAACATGTTCATTAATGCTTGACCTCACATATAATGGATTTACTAGGCACTGCAAAGACTGCAGTATTGCAAAATACTAAGAAAATTCATATTATGCAATACTAAACAGTAATTACCAGAAAAATAACATTTTTGCGTTGTGGATACGCACTGAGCATCCACTACCCGTGGAAGTCTGACCGATCTTGTAAAATTTCACCGATTACCCAGCAGCCCTGCTTGCTATGTGCACTTGGAATCTCTCCCTCATTTAGCCTTATCCAGTCTCCAAGACTCTCTTTTCCAAATAAAGCAGCAAAAGAAGTTGGGCAAGAGTTTATTAGTTGGACAGACGTTTCCACTGTGGAATAAGCGGGAGTCAACAGCAGCAAAGTCGTGCTGGTGAGAACTAGTGGATACTGAGCCAGTGTCGTGCACGTGAGAGAAGAAGTGTTTTTTAGAGACCGACAAACTGAAAGATGTGAAGAGTAACTAACAGAGAACTTATTATTCAGGTGATTTAAGTCCAGTGGTGAAAATAAACCTGTCTCTTGTTGTCAAGAACCCACAGTTAATCACTGATCTACATTACAATATCCTATCACAGAAAACCACTTAGCAGGCTCCATACATATTCAACGCAATTACAATTTACTATGGAAATTGGGAATTTAAAATTCTGTACTACGAGGCTGTTCGCAAGAGTAACTACAGTTTACAGTATAGTTTAGTAGTACGCTACTGTAATGCATGGTCCCTTGAACTATGCATATATCATGATGTATGGCTTATGTTAAAGTCAGAATGGTAGTAGATATAATCTCAGAATGTCGCGCCCATGAAGGAAGTGAGCTCCAAACTGGGGCTCTGGCTTGTTTCTAACACAAGTTTACCACACTGTATTCAACAGATATATTATGTTGGTTTAATATTTCCTGATTTTTTTTAAAAGATATCAAAGTCCTATTCACATACACAGAATAGGAAGATATACTGTTCTTTCAGCCCAGCCCGAGATAGAAGCAGTACGTTCTTTAGAAACGTCGGTACCTCCCTGCAAGTCCACATGGCACTACAACCCAAAGGACCAACAGTCACAACAGGGTTGATTAAGCTCTTAATAACTTCCAAATTTAAGCAATTTTCAAATTTAACAGATTCTATTTCACAGAAGTAATGACCTGATTAACATTTTGCGGTGAACATTAATCATGCAACTGTGATACAGCAGATACTGCTGCCTGCACAAATGGTAAAGTTTCTCCCTCCCGGATTACTATGTCCTGTAAACTCTGTTACATCCTCACTTTGCAAACAATTCTACATAACGCAGTGTTTAATTATCCAGGCTTTGTCCAAGTAAATTATAAGGTGCCCTTTGGAATCAAATTCCGTATTATTTAGGCTTAGTGAAGCGTCTTTCATCACCTGTTAAAACACAAATGAGGGGCATAAAGAAACAAAATCCTAGCTTCTAACCTGTGAGTCATGAAGAGGGCTTGTAACACACAATTCATGTAACAGGTGTTTCCCAAGTTGTTCAAGCCCACACGGTTTAAAGATGAACGTTCTCTTGACTTATGATTTTCAACATAATAAAACTGTCCACCAATCAACCAGGCTGGCATGTTCTCAGGTGCAAACTCCCCTGGAGGAAGGAATGATGAACAGTCCTGCCAACAAGAGCAAAATACAACTCAACTGCTATAATCTTATCTCTCACATATAGCATCTGCAATATTATAAAAATAATAAAAGATTTCCCGTCACAAAGAAAGAGTAGACGTAAGAGGTTTTTAAAAACATTTTATACTAAAAAAATATAAAACAAAGCTGCACATAAAAACTAAAATCAGAAAGTACTTATCTCTGCAGTGTATTAATAAGTAAACATCTGTTCCGCTGCACTAAACCGTCTTTTGTTTCAGTGCACTGTTTCCACAAAGCACCGCATAAAAATTACGTAAAGTATAACAAAAAAAAAAATTTTAAATCTTTGCTAAACTCAATATAATATAATTTAATGCAGTGCAATCACAAATATAATATTATATGTAGGTTATAATAACTGTTGCGCTGTACAGAAGTACATATACGTAGTAGGCTATGGATATATTATCACCAGCCAACACTTACCTATTACATACAAAACATTTATAAATTACACAATATAATAAATACTGTCTTTGGTACAATGTGAAATGCATACTGTATGAATACGTCAACCATACATCCTCCTGTTGTTATCTAAGTGTCATGAAACAAGTAACTGAACAGCTAAAAAAGAGTATGGAAGAGGTACCGTGTTCGTTAATCAACACAAAATTTACTGTTACCTAGTCTCGTTAGAATGACTAAACCACGAACATTAAGACGGACTGGATATTTAACACATAACGGGGTATGCGTCAGTCACTGCCTTCAACAAATTGTACGGCTTGTAACAGATGTATTCTTTGTTTCATTATTTTATGCATTTCACTGACTTTGATTTTCATATATTACAAATACAAATATATTTTTGCAAAGTACTACAGACATCACACTACACAGAATCAGAAATAATTTATTTTTGTATTTAGTTAAATGTTCTTAACAGAGAATTGATCATATACAAGAGGCAGATATTAATTTGATCTTTTCTCTGTGTAACGTACCAATTTTAATAATCGAGCAGTATTTAAGGAAATAAATTCAATCTGAGTTCATGTAAGTAGGTTTTGTATTTGATTGACACAAACTAAATTTGCCTTACAAACTTTAATGTAAACTCTAAATATCAAGTTCTTTCAATGTGTGTTCCAGCAGTTTCACAGGTGAAACCTGTGGACAGACACAGAGACGTGGCTTCCCTTACATCCATCTCATAAACTTTGTACAGGCAACTCTCGGTTTACGAACACTCGCTACAATGAACGTCACAATTCATTCAAAATTTCTTAAAGTTGCCAATAGTTCCTTATAAAACGAAATGCCAAACGTATAGCGAATTTAATTGGAAGATTTAAACAAATATACTTTTAAAAATTGCATCTATTACAATAATTATCAGAAAATTATTATATGGTAATTATACTGAACTGTTCTTGGTTAATAAAATTAATCTAGCCAGTAAAAAAGTTGACAGTGGAACCACGGTTCTGGAGAATCTGACGTAAATACGTCTCTGTAACGTAATAATTCTTATATAGGATAAGTACTTGTGATATTCTAAAACGTTTTTACCTGCACAAAATTATCTAGTCTACGACGCACTTCTTCTACAAGCGATTCACAGCTCAGCTCTTTCAGCAATGACGAAAGCGGATTGTTGCGGCAATAATGTAACACAACAATGCCGAGTAAACAGATGATGCAACAATTAAGTTTCTTAGGTAACATAACAATGCATGCAGGAATTCACATAAAAGCTGACCATTGTTGTCAGTCCATATTTACACATTGTTGATATGGATCTTACACAACTTTGTTATGCTTCTTTGCGGAATAATCCTTACGCATAGACGTATTTATGTCAAAAACATTGGTTTACATGCCATGCCACGTAGAATGTTTTCTCGTGGGAAAGAAATCGGTGATTCCCCCTATTATAACATAATAGTATTGTACAGACTATTTGATGTTTAGTACATGGTTTTAATGATTTAAAATGGCTGCTAACGTATACGATACGTATCGTAAAAGCTCAGGAATGCAAGATACACATAACGAACAGAAACGTATAACGAACGTCTTGGAACGGAACTCGTTCGTAGACCGTGAGTTGCCTGTATAGAAAAATACCCAGTTTTAAAACAAAATTATTCAGAGTTATGGCACCTTCAGTGCTCGAATCAATGGATCATACATGTTGTCATTTCTTGGAAACGCAGCGACCATAGCGCAGCTCATGTTCACCACCATCTGGAGACATGTACGACTTGAATCAGAATTTTCAAGGACCAACTGTGCCATTACGGTAGGCACCTGATTCACTACCTGCAACAAACAACGCAGTACCCGGTGAGAAAAATTCTTGATTTGAAACACTTACGATGGACATGTTCTGAAAAAGTGTGTAATGCTGCACACCATTTTGTAATGTATGTCTACCATATGTAATAGAAAAGGTAGGACCTTCTTGGCACTGTTTGTGGCAACTGATATGGCAATGGTGGTCGTGGTGACATCGGTAATGCCACTGGCGCTTGGTAGTGCTGACTACATTGATTTAAGGATGATGGGAAGGCCTGAAGTCAGAGCTCTATCTCAGCAAGCTGAAGTCAACCCAGCATCTGCTCCTAAAGTATGTGATTCTTGCAAATAAATTTGTCTACAATAAGATTCAAACATGGAACATTTAAATTAGAATGGCTATAAACAACAAATAATACATGATAATACATATGCTAATGCTGACCATTACTTTCTGCTCATTTACGGAAAGTTTGCGGTGCAGCATACGGCGCAAAGTTCGCTGCAGAACAACCCAAGCGTTAGTAAATTGGAAAATATGTACTGAGCAGGGTGAGTAACTAGTACTGAAAAGCAATACACTGTTATTTTATACCAAAACCATTGCTTTCATTTAAATTACCCTCATAAGCATAATTTTCTATACTAGATTACCATCATAAAATACCTTGTGGAAAACCTGTGGAGAGTGCCTGGATGATGCAATCATACGCCACACAACGTCTATGACACCAGATCGGACAACGGGAAGCATTATAGCGGCAAACAAATACTCCACAGTGGCCAGAGTCACTTCCATCAACACATCAAAATGCTGCTTAGTCTCTAGGCCGTCGATCAGGGCTAGAACCCAGGGACTGAGTAGTGTGGCACGAGGCCAACAACAAAGCCACTGACAGAGAGTGTGGAGTGTACGGAAATGGCCCTGACTGGCCTCTAAAATAGCTGTCACATATTTTGGGATGAAGTGTGGCTCCACCAAATGCAGTATTGCTGCCAATGCAGGGCAGGGCTCAGTTGGGCGGTCAATGATTGTTGCATGCAGAACTGCAAGGCATCTGAACATAAGCTGTTCATTACTTTTCCCTTCTTCCCCCTTCCAAACTCTGATCAGCAATGCTTGTACGAACCCCATCTGGAACCAAAAGTATTATATAATTAATTAATAAATTGAATTTATATTTACATGTATGTGAGGTTTGCCAAATGTACACTGATGCAGGACAACAAAATCACTTACTCAATTCGTAACTGTAAAAAATTTAAGATATTTTACGTAAAAATCTGCAAGTCTTCTCTAATCTCCCAAAAGGACTCATCTTACATCTGCTACATAATGAGCAAACAAAACAGTTTAAGTAACACAACATTTATCGCTCGGAAATAACATCACAGTAAAATCTCCATAAAATTTACTTGACAAACTAGTGAATACAACACCACACCACATTCTATTTTGAATCATTCCTGCCCTTGGTAGCACAGACTCTTTGACAGGGCTCAGGAAGCGACTCTAAAGGATAAATCTGGGCGCCAGTGCTTTGTCGGTGAGATGATAATACTGTTGATAACACTGTATGCTGAACTCTGTACGCTAATTTCTATGATCTAAATAAGGAGTCACAAGATTTTAAGTCCGCTTACTATGATCCTCAGTCACAGAGCGGATTTCGCAGTCTGTGAGCACAACTTACGTGCCTTCTGAAATCCTGGTCAATAAATCTTCTGCAGCAATTCCCTGATTGTGATTGGGTACTTCAAATACACACCTCTTGCCTCTGGTAGGTAACCTGTGTTGTCTTGACCTTGCCATGTTCAGTCCTGGTCTTTCAGATCATTTCACTTACGAGGGTACGTGATAATTTACAAAGTAAGCATTTTCCAGAGAGTCTTTCTCTACAGTGAAGTGTCTTTCAAGAAGAGCCTAATCCAAACTTGGTTGTAAAACAGTCCAACTGTTCCCAATTCTCACAACTTTTGAAAATCAAGGAGGTGGCCAAGTTCACTTTTACTCTCCTTAGGCCTTCCACACAATCTCTTCCCCAGTCATTCACCAAACCATTTCATGTTCCTGCCCCATGGCGGATGATCGAACGTCAAGATTCTAAGCTCCATGCTATTGCAGTGTAAACATCACTCATGGGAAAAGTTTATTGTGTGTCTAACTACAAACCTTGCTCAGTTGTATGGGAACATTTGTGATGAATATCAAAAAAATATACTGCTAATTACAGCTGCCTGATTTAAAGAGTCATGAGTAACACGAATCATTATGTGCTACTGTTCAATATGGCAACTGGTGTGTGTGGGCTCATCCATGTTCAGCACCACAAGCTGAATACAGATATCAGTGTCTCTGTCATCCAACCCGTTTCATCCTCACCTTCAGATGTGGCGCCATGTACTAAAAGTCTCCCAGCAGTAGACTAGGAGCAGGATGCTGGAGATATGCCTAGGCAACAACAGTGGGTGGTGGAAAGTATACACTGCACTTTGTAAATCTGAGAGCAGCTGCGAATATCTGTACAGCAACAGCTTGTACGTTACGTTGCAGCTGAACGACACAGAAATGTACGCTGTCTTGAAAAGAGATGATAATACGAGGCGCGTCCACAAAGTAAGTTTCCCACTCGTCCCACAGCTAGCAAACCTTATATTGCGCGAAGCGACTGTGCGTACGTGATAGAGCAATGATGTAGCATGGCGCATGCACTAACGGCACTTCCCGCGTTCTCACAGTAGCATCGTTGCAGCTGTTGAAGATGGAGGTTCTTATTCCAGCTCCCGCCGACTGTGAAGTGCGGTCAGTGATAACGCTAGGCCGCACACGGCTCGACGGACAGCAAGTCTCCTGCAGGAGTTCAGCTGGGAGGTGTTTAATCATTCACCCTACAGCCCGGACCTCGCTCCCAGTGATTTCCATCTTTTCCTACACCTCAAGAAATTCCTGTCCGGTCAGCGTCAGCGTCAGCGTTTTGAGAATGAAAGAGAGGCGGAGATGGTTGTCACACAGTGGTTCCAATCCCAGGCGGCAGACTTCTACGACACAGGTATTCAAAAGTTGGTCCCACGGTATGACAAATGTCTCAATTCCGGTGGCGAATATGTTGAAAAATAGCTGGACACTTGCTGTATCTGTTGCAATAAATATTTCCATGAAATTGTGTTTTGTTTCTGTAAACGGCCCCAGGGAAACTTACTTTGTGGACGAGCCTCGTATCACAATTTCGCCTATCACCAAATCGTGCTCAAGATCGTATTCTAATATCGAAACTTGCCGACACTATCAAACTGACGGGTTTTATTTTTAAATCACTGTGTGTCTATTTATTTATTGGTGCCATTAGAAAATTCTTAACATCCAACATTTTAAATGTCATATTTCTTGCTGCTACATCATTTTTAATTTGTGGACAAATTAACTTAACTGGGTTAGGAACATGGTTATCTTCTGGGATTTTGCACCATGTAGTCTGGTACATACTGAAAGACACTTCAGAGACACTCACTGCCTCCATCACACACTTGATGATGGAGACAGTAAGCCGAGATCACAGACGAGTTCATCGTGGGATTGCATATTCTGTGAGCCAATGACGTGTCTGTGGATGTAAGGTGGTTCATACCACGGAAAGAGGACAGATCCCTGCTGGTGAACCTACGGGGCCTTAAAAATATATGTTGAGAATAAATCAAGAAGTAAAAAGCTGTGAAATGTAACACTACGTGCTGCACGATACACGCATGGCAAGTATTCAACCTGCAAAGGAAGCTGACAGGCACAAAATGAATGATGTAAAGAAAGCTTTCGGAGAGCAGTAATGAGTAGTGGAGTGAATATGAAAGGAGGGGATAGCACAAGAGACCCTTTCTCAATTCGTCAATCACTGCTCGGAATAGCAAACTTTGGCCATTTTTAAGATTATGAAGATGCATTAATGCCAAAGGCAATTTGAATTTGCCTATTACTTAATTCATTAATCCCAAAACCTTAAAGGTAAAATAATTTTTTGTTTCATTCTAAATACTGTATACTGGATTGGATTCAGGAGAATGTAGAATAAATCTGATGCTTTTTAATTTTCTTATGTAATAAGGGTAAACAAAACACTACTACATAAGCATGTCCTCTAGTTAATGGCCTAACTTATATAAATCGACACATTTATTGGGTTGACCAATGGTTAAGAGTACGATAAAAGAAATCATTAGTTAATCATAATTTTTCATGTCCGTAAATCACACACTGCATATTAATTTTAACATGGAAAGCACCTCCAATCGTTTAAAATGTTGTGCTGCACTGAGGATAATCTATACAAAATTAGCCATTCTTCGTACCTGTTTAACAAGTTGTGACACCTGTGCAGGTTGGGCCTTGGGCATAGGTACCTCTGCAACATTTGCTGTCACAACTTCACAAAGCCTTGCTCGTTCATCAGCTACAGGAATGCAGCGTGGATGTTCGCACAGAAGCTTTGACACATTTACAAGTACATTGATGTCGCCATGGACATTCTCTCTCAAAAAGTCTGTGATAAGGTTTCCTACTGCTACTTCCATGGCTAGTAAAAGAAAATAAGAAACTATGAAAGAAAGGAGACTAGAAGGAACAATCTGGATGTGAAACAACACTTTTCATTCTGTCACAATATTTTGTTACATTAAGAGCTAAATGCGGATTCTTCTCTCAGGTATTTCTTGAAATAAATTGTACTGAAATAATGGATTTTCTTAAATGATACCTAACAACCACTTAGCACTTGTAATTATCTGCATATTAGATTAACGAAGTGTCCTTTCTTTTAACAACCACTTAGCACTTGCAACTATCTGTATATTAGATTAACGAAGTGTCCTTTCTTCAGACAGATTTTTCTTAAAATTAACTTACTGAAACAATGAAAATGCTTATTTAATATGACAGTCTTCTGAAATACAATGAGCCGGGATAGCTCAGTCAGTATAGTGACTAGCTACGGGCTGGACGGCCGGGGTTCGATCCCCGCCGGGGGCAGAGGATTTTTCCTCTAGCCTCTGCGTCCAGACCGGCTCTGGGGCCCACCCAGCCTCCTATCCAATGGGTACCGGGGTCCTTTCCCGGGGGTAAAGCCGGCCGGGGCGTGATGCTGACCACTCACCCCCATCTAGTGCCGAGGTCAAGGAAGAGAGGAGCTATACCTCCTCTCACCCCAAACGCCTACATGGCGTATAGTGGGACAGACTTTAAAACTTTTGAAATACACATTCTCATTGGAAAATGTCTTCTGAAATACAATGAGCCGGGATAGCTCAGTCAGTATAGTGACTAGCTACGGGCTGGACGACCGGAGTTCGATCCCCGACGGGGGCAGAGGATTTTTCCTCTAGCAGAGCTAAATGCGGATTCTTCTCTCAGGTATTTCTTGAAATAAATTGTACTGAAATAATGGATTTTCTTAAATGATACTTAACAACCACTTAGCACTTGCAACTATCTGTATATTAGATTAACGAAGTGTCCTTTCTTCAGGCAGGTTTTTCTTAAAATTAACTTACCGAAACAATGAAAATGCTTATTTAATATGACAGTATTCTGAAATACACATTCTCATTGGAAAATGTTTTAATATTTCCTCCTGTGAAACTGGAATGTGACTGCTAAAAGCACCAAACAGCTGTCAAGCAGCAAACCAGCGATGGACATAGGTTGCTTATGAATATGCATTTAAACTGCAGTGAAGAAATGAAACATTGATAAAAACTGATTCCTCGCTGCAATTTACAAACCAATTATGGTCACACAGCAACCATAAAAATGCAGGAATACAAATTTTTACAGGTTGTTGTTACGTGATAAAAACTGATTCCTCGCTGCACTTTACAAACCAATTATGGTCGTACAGCAACCATAAAAATGCAAATACAAATTTTTACAGGTTGTTGTTACCACATAGACAAAAACCGTCACAAAGAAAGTCTCTTTCAAATGCAAACAAATAAAATCTGATTTAAATTGAGAAATGATCCTTCCTGTATATGTGTGATGTCGTGTTATCCTAAAATGTTACATACCTTGTGAGGACATTATGCTGAGGCTCCAAGAAACAAGAGCAGGCACCTCTGCTCTATTATAAGACGATGCATTAAATCTCAGAAATTTCTCTAGCGTGGCAACATTCAGCAGCTCTGATATTGTGCTCTGCTGGAAATCTTTCAAATGTTGCAACACTAACCATCCCACTGTTACAACCATTGGTCTGTCCCCCTCCAGCACCCATCTACAATCCAACAGCGATGAGCGAATAAATACACAGTACACAAAAAATAAATAAATAAAATTAAATGTAAATTCATATTTACAAATTGAAATCTGATTATAAACCCAAATTTTATCTATCTAAACTACAACAGTACATACATTTAATTATTCGTGTTTTTTTCCGTCTAATCACAATTGTATATAAATAAAATTATACATAAGATATTAAAATATCACTTACATATTTGGTACAACTTTTTACCTAAAACTTAATTACTGTTGTTGTGTAACTTCTGATGATGTTTACTTCCAAATTCATTGGAGTGAGGGTATATTTTGAAGTGATAGTGGTTTAACATTGGCCGAGGAAGTTTTATTTTATAAGATTATAATTTTTAACTTTTAACTTTACACCTGAAGATGGTTCAATGTAACCGAAACATGTAGTAAAAAGATGTACCAAATATGTAAATTATATTTTAATATCTTATGTATAAATTTTATTTATATACAATTGTGATTAGACGGAAAAAAAACACGAATAATTAAATTTTAATTCACAATATGACGCAATTATATCAACTTAGTACATAAATTGTTAACACTTAATACAGCAATCCTGTCTCATATGTGGAAGAAGCACGGTTCAATTCTCCACCCGCAGGCCAGATATCCGGACTGGAGTTTTGTATCACATTCCCAGCCTTTCCAGAAAATGCTGTGACAGTATCTTAAGGCTAGACAAGACCACATCCTTCCCAATTCATGATCCAGAAACCATTCTACTATAACATAACTTCATAACACTGCAACTGAAAATTTAGTCAAATAAACCAAGAATTATATCTAATATGGCATATCTACAGGGTGATTCAAAAGGTTTGGGCCAAACTGAAGGAGCGTATAGAGGGACTCAGAGAGAACAACTTTCGAATAGGAATCCACGTCCTCCGAAGTTATCCTGAGTCAGTCGAGGCCATTGAAGGTAGGGACGTCTGATAACAAACAGCTGAAATAATCGTACTTTGCTATTCTCCTACTAGTTTACTTTTGTTTTTTATTAATGTGTGGTCTAGCGGTTAGAATTACAAACCAAATTCTGTCTGCTTAAGATAAATGCACAGTATAGCATTACACAAAATTAAACAAGAAACAATCACCCAATACAGAGACACTCATTGTGCACTACTTCAGAAATATTCATTTTATGGCAGTTTGAACATCCCCAAGGTTTGTCAATATTAAATCTACAAACTGCAATATTACTCATCGCACCCAAGATGATATTTTAGTCTAAAGGACACATTTGTATTAGATATAAACAGTGAAATAAAGTCATACAATAATGTATGAACAAACGTCTGGCTCCATATTTGGGAGGTACTAATTTTAAATCCTGACCAGGGACTGGGAACCTGACTGAAATTTTTCATAGTTTTCCTTAGTGTCTCCAGGGCACTTTGGAGTAATACTTTAAAACTGTCCATGGCTACATACAATTAATGAATTACAATCATCCTCTCATATAATGCTATATAACCTGTACAATTAAAAAACATAATTTTACAAATGAAGAAACAAACACAATTTTTTTAATTCTGAGTTACGCAGTAACCACAATGAAATTTTTAGCTGTACTCTTTAAGTCCATTTCACTCTCAATGTCCAAGTGGTCACAACTGATGACAGCACAAAATCAAAATCAAAAGATTTGCTGGGACTTTGAAGGTTAATCACTCTAAGAATATTTAGTGAACAGCAAAAACTATGAAGCCCCTAATTATGCATTTCTCTTTCCGCCTCACTTCATCTCTCTTACATCCAAATATTTTCCATACTATCATGTTCTAAAACACTCTTAATCTGTGCGCTTCCCTTAAAATAAGACAGGTTTCACACCCATACAAAACAACAGGTATATTTCAGTGTTAAATTTCAGTGGTTTCTGAGCTGATACATGAAGAAGACAGTTACATTTTCCCCACAAGGAAGCTTATTATTCCTTATCTTTATCTACAGAAGGAACACTGAACATATCATTTGCCAAAGAACTACATCAAGCAAATCAATCAATGCCAGCATGCAATGAGTGTTTCAACATCTGCAAAGGCCAATGGGTTTAAGAGAAAATACAAAGTGAATCCTTTACATAAGGTAATTATTTTGAACAAGTAAATACTCTACTGTCATTTCAACCACTGCCTTACTCTTCACCTCCTTTGTTCTGCTGGCACCATACTAAGGAACTAAAAATCTATTCAGAAGGATTCTGACAATGGAGTAATATAATCTGGAATGTTGGGTTCCTGGACTATGACCATCACCTGATGTTATAAAAATTATTGAAGAATGGTTCTGTCCTCGTCTTCAGGTGTGGTTAAGGGGAAGGGTACCTACTCTGTTAGAATAAACTAATCTCAATCCAGTGGCTAAGATTAGCTCATTCTCCTTCACCACACCATAAGATAAAAACAGATCCAGTCCTCAAAACATTATATAGTTTTATAACATCAGACAATGAACAAGGTACAAGTTACATGTAAAAATAGCCAACTCAACCACATTAACATTTCATTTTAACACCTACAATTTCCTCTACTGAACTCCACATTTTTTACACAATTTTTAAGCTTTCACAGTAAATAGAATCCTTTCAGGCCATCAGCCATGTCAAGTGGTCAATGTAACATATAATTTAAATGGAGATGGATGTTTTACTTTGACCCAGGCATGGTAACCTGTGACAAACATGCTTAAGCAGTTCAGTAAAACACCAGTAAAAAGCACTTGACTTCACCCCCTACTGGCTATAAGTACTAATTCCAGGAAAGAAAATATAGATGTTTGAAGTAACCAGCCACATTGAGCATAGCCAAAGGTAAGGCTGAAGATGCTGAACAAAACCTGGACAAAGAACTTGCATATACATAACATAATTACTTTCTGTATATATTGTATTTATAAAAAATTGTAGATACTGCGAAAAATATGACAAAGACTTTTCACAAATAAAAAACTGATTACCTCATGCAAGAAAGCACGCACTAAGAGGGCAAAGACTTCAAATGTCGGAGACCGTAAAATCTGGTCACGAAGCCAGATAGGGTTCGACACGAAGACTGACTGACATCGTCAGTCGCAACGTGAGTTGGACTTCAAGCCAGTCACATGAATCCCTGGTGATGGAGATGATTCCATACACGTTGGTATCGTTTCACTTGACCCGGCAGACGTCCCCGTAGGAATATGAGTACACATACCTTCATAATTATTTTAGGATTATGACATTAGGGGCTCAACTCATTTTGAAACATGTAACAGCTACAAACCTTACACCTAGATCCAACGTAGTGACACAACATTCTTGGCTTAATTCTTGGTTTGCTCGTAGTGTTTTTGCTATCAATAGTTCCTTCATTTTGTCTGACATATTTACGGACACTATATTCTGCAATACGTCAGGAAGCATTGTTTGTACCAAAAATAAATTTCAGTCTATGAGTACAATGTGCTTTATTACAAGTTACATTTCACATATTACACTGCTCGTGCCAACACAACAAAACAACACAGAAACGAAACATCACCGTAGCAAAGTAAGGGTCGGGCCAACACTATAAACCAACACAGAAACGAAACATCACCGTAACAGAGTAAGTCAAGGAAGAAAATATACACACTATATTCCACAGATTATAAACTTACTATTCGTCTTTCTCGTTTGTAGACACAATGAGGCGGCACTTATTATCAGTTCTGACTTACGATGCTACGTTCTTTAGCTATTGAAACTCATTTTTGGGGTCCGGGAGTCCCGAGTGATGAGTTTTTCGCAGGTGAATTATGTTTATTTCAGAGGGCTAGTTGCAATGTGGAGACCTCATGGAATTTTTGTTGTTTTGGGGAGGAGGGGTTGACTTGTTCCAATTTTCCCCAGAATTTGTACTCTTATGTGTAAAATGTGTGTGGTTCCACATGTTTATCTTCCAATTACGAAGCGTACGGGTTTTCTTTCGAGGTTGGTAGGTTTTACAAGGGAACCCAGTTGATTGTTGCCCTCCCATTTGACTCTTGACATTTTGGTCAAAATATTATTTGACACTGCTGTTCTTTTTTTAAAAAACTTCAAAGGTTAAAAAATGTATGACAGCCAGGAAATGCAGTACTTCTAGGGCCAGTGACACCAGAGTAGTATCACCACATAAAGCAATTTGTGGACCAAAAATGGGTCATTATGAAGGTATGAGGAAAGTAAAGATTATAACTGTGCCAGAGAACTGAACCTAAGAATTTTATGTGGACAAGAAATACAGTTGCTTTTACTTAAAATTTTAGGATATGAACAGTGGTCATTTTATAATCAGAAAAATATGGTATTGGGTTTGATAGCTACTTCAACAAATTTTAATATTTTAAAAATCTTTTATTAGCTCTATCACTCCTGTTTGAAGGTTCCTATGCCATTCAATTATAAGTAGTTAAATTCCTATACAAATTGAATCAACAGCCCTTTCCTATCACTCCTGTTTGAAGGCTCCTATGCCATTCAATGATAAGTAGTTAAATGCCTATACAAATTGAATCAACAGCCCTTTAGGACAACATTTCGTGATAATATGCTATTAAATCTCTCATCAGTTTATTAGTTTTCACTTCAACTTTTAAAATTCTTTGAGTTAACATTACATACAATTTTGGTACAGATTACCTTTACAATACCAAAAAATATGAGCTGTATGGAGTTCAAGAAATAAATGGAACTATGTAAAAATTGTTATAAAAAGTATCTATCTAATTTTACAATTATAAGTTAACATAAATGTGACACAGTAATATATCATATACTCATTCAAAACTCAAATTTTTACTTTCTACCCCTGATTTACAAGGCATATGAAGCACCAACAATTTCTGTGCATGTTACAAATTCAATACAGAATCACAGAGCATATAAGTTGCACTTAAAATTCACATATATAAAATTCTAATCAAATATGAAAAGTACCATAACTTTAAAAAAATAAAGCGATGCTAAAAGCAACTTTGTTTCGTTGTTCACAACATTCAGTCACTTTAACCAGTCTTTTAAATATGTAGTAAAAACAATAAAAGAGAACTTCCTACTTATGAACACTTGACCAAATTAGCGCCATGGTTTCCGTCCACAATTCACACTGACAGAATTACGATTCTTGGTCCCACCTTGAAGGCCTACTTGCTGCTGGTGCTGTCTAATGGTACTGCTTTGGTGCACCTCACGGATTCCTACCGGCATCATGTGTCAACATAAATAAGGAATTTCAGAAACATATGTAGAATATAAGCTAAAATGGAGTACCGTCTTGATCATCATGTAAATATTCAAATACTGAAGTTGTAACAATAATTTTATATACAGGTGCACTGTGGCACACTGACGGATTTTAAATAGAATGATTAATTTCAACACATTTTATTAATGTACTATACAAAGGCATGTTTGTAGTGTTTAGTTAGTGTCTGCCTTGTTCTCAATGCACTCTTCAAGTCTCTTCAGAAAATTTTCCATTATACGATGTCTTAAGTCCTCATCATGGCTCAGAACTCATCAGTAATCCTTTCCTTAAATTATAAATTTTGCAAGGTTTCGTACTGTAGACTCGACCCTTCAGATGACCCCCAAAAAAGAAGTCCACTGCAGAGACTGGGTGATCTTGGTGGCCACTAGATCTGAGTGAATCGAGTGCAGTTATCAAACAATGATCATGACAAACCCATATTTACTTTAGCAGTATGCGCTGTGGGGCAATCCTCCTGAAACCAAATGTCTTGTTGAGCAGACAGCTGTGAAGCCAAGAAATTTCCCAGCATTGCTCCATAGTTCTTGTCTGTATGTTCTTGCAGTTGTAGTTTAATGTACAACTTTGGCAGGGCAGCACTGAATGGTAAAAATTGCAACTGCAATATTTGCCAAATTGTTCGTTAACACCAAACGTTCAATGCGGTTCTCACCCAAAAGCCAAAATTATACACTGCTCCATAACGTTCAGTATTTACTACTACAAGCGCGGTTTCAGCTTTAAAAAAATATGAACCATAAATCCCAAAAGAAGCAATTCTACACCAAGCCACAACCCTTGGGCTGTGCAACAAAGTTTCGCCTGTTGAGAATTTGTTTAAGATCAGAAGCAAAAGTTCTGCTTGTTCACTGCTTCATCACTCATCAATTGACGAATAACATCTGAGTTTTGCAGCAACTATCCTTGAAAATCATTGACCACAACTACTCAACTCTTGAACAACCTGCACCTATACGGATGACAATGGAAATCCAGAAGCAAAACTTGTCTTACGTATTCTCTTTGACATTCCAAGGGCCTGAGATTGCTTCTGTGCTGAACAAGATGGACTTGATGAAATGCAGCTCTCATTGCTGCAATGTTTTCTAGTGTGTGTACTGTTTGTTTTGATCCCTTTTGTTTCATCGGAACAACTGATCCTGTTTCATGCCAATGTTTCACCCAAGAAATGATTGTATTTTGTGCAGGAATATGGCCTTTATAGTCGATACCAAATTCAGTGTATGGGCTATGTTGTATTTGTGCAACAATCTTTGTTTTCACATAACACTCCACAGTAAAAACATGTTGTTCCACATTCCACGACTTAACATGACCATCCTGCATGCAGCACTTGTCATTGACAAGCCACTGTTAATTCCATTGTGTTCAACCCACAACAGCACTAATTATACAGCTTAAAAATACATTAATCTGCCATGAAGCACTCTATATATTTTTTTAAATTTTAATAACAATTTTTTTTAAGTTTTAGAATTATTAGTTACACTATGTGTTTTTGTATAACTTTCCCAGTGTGCCTCTCCACGAGAAGCATCTTTCGTATTTACCATTGCTTCCTACAATGAGCTGTTGGGAGGAAAATGCCACGGTATAAGTTTTTTTGCACACCCTGTGCCAAATTTTTGAAACAGAAGAAAATCAATAATTTTCTGTAGGTTATCTCTCTAAAAAAAATGTCTGCATTTACCAATTTTCCCCATGATGTTCTATTTGGGAGAAACACCACTGTATACATTTTCGGATAACACTGTTATTAATTTTCAAAACAGAAAAGATATGTTTTTCCTACGGTTGTCTCTCTAAGAGGAACATTTTTTTTCATCACTTCTCTTTACATGTCACTGGGGACAAATGGTGATATGAACTGGCTGTTGCCAATATACAGTATACAAGATGTCTGGTGCCTTTATGTCAAAACATCAGATCCTTTTTCAATTCTCAACAGTAATGGAACAATGGGGATTTGAAATGTAGCATTTAGTCCATTAATGGACTCATGACAATCCACACAGAAAAGCAAAAAATAATTTCAACATAACTTTTCTATAAATGTGTAGTATAGTGTCACTGGAGACAGCTTGTCACCGACATTTACATTGGACTTTTGTAAAATGAACTGCTGGCCCTGTTAAAGAATGTTTTTCTGCGAACATGACTGAAGATTACTACCAGCACGACTACGTACCCCCACATTTCAGTAGCAACATTATAAAGTGTCTGAATGAGCAGTTGCTTTACCAGCAGATTAGCTATGGCAGTATGCTACCAAAATCACTGGGGCTCAACGCACTAGATTACCAGGTGTGACGTCACTTGGAACTGTTAAATATGTGAGTTAAAAATGTTTGACCGATGTCTCAGCTCACCAGTTGAGAAAAACGGCATAGGATGTAAGTCAAGTCTGTGAAGCGTAACCGACTCCGAACCAAACACTCATACATAATTTCCACTTACCAGAATGAGAATGTTTGTCAATCCCTGCTGACTTCATTCTGTGAAGGCTGCGGCTCGAACTCACCTGTCGATTTCTGGGAACACACCTGCCTTGGTTCCTGGAAGTATGTAATATAACAACTAGCCTCATATGTAAAATTCATCTGCAACATCTACATTTCATATGTATATTTGTACTGAGATTCATCTTCTTGTATGATATTCACATAAAATGTATTTGCTACACTGCGAAAACTCTTATATAAATAGACTAGACATAAAGTTCCCATTTTGTGCCTGGCTTTTTTTTAAAAATAAAATGGACTGAAAAAGCTTATTTATTATATCACACATCTTCATAAATTTTACTTAATAGAAGATAACTGTCTTCTGTAGATGTTACACCAAGGATGATGGAGGAAGAAAGGATCTCTGGAATGTCAGTAAACTTCTACCAGACTACAAGGTGCAACATCCCAGAAAACTATCATCTTCATACTTGTCGCTGTGATATCTTGAAATCTCATGCTCTTACTTAATTCTTCCAGTTATGTATATAATAGAGTAACCTCTTAAATGATATATATGAAAGAAAGTACATTGCATTGAAGAAACTCTGAATTATTGTCATTATTAAATTTGGTTTCTAAAAATGAAAGGATGTGACAACATTAATCTTTTCTATTACTGCTGTGGTGCTGCATGTAGATTAAGGCTTGTAAACACTAAACAGATCATGTTATACACTAAACCATAAACTCTGACACAAACTATGTTTTCTACAAGAACACTAATTTAAATTGCTTTAACACCCTGTTAAACATATTATCACTTACTGCAACATTTTACGTTCAATAGATTTCCTTGTAGCAGCAGACAGTGGGCGAGGTAATGGCAGTCGTTGGGTTTGGTTGCGTATTCTGTCCCGGTCAGCAGCAATTATTGCCATTTGTCCTGAAGTGGATGTGTCGAAGAACACTGAATGGAGAGCATAAAATGCTGCTGTCACCTAAAATAAGGTGCCAAAATACATGTCAGCAGTTTTGTCAACATAACAACCAATTAGACTTCATTTTATCAATTTTAATATCATGTGTCACCATAATAAATACATTAAATGTGAAAACATCTTCATGATGACTGAAGCCAGATTCCTGCCAAACACGCCAACACGAAACTGACTGCCCGACTTCAGACTATGCCAGACTGTAATCCAGCCTTGTTTGTATTCCTTGCTATTGGATTTGCCACCATAAAAACTTAATTCATGATCCAAATTAGGGTACTATCATGAAGGAATGAGGATAACCACGTAAAACCACCAGTCAAGATAACCGGTTTCAGGCCAAGATTTGAAAATGGGACTTCCTGAATATGAAGTAGTTGTGATAACACTTGTCCGAGTAATAAAATACTTTTATCAGTTCTAAACTGTGACTTATTTGAGATGTACAATTCATCAAATAAAAAGACCACAGCTTACATAACAAGCAACAGACTCCGGTATATATGTCAATATTTCTCACATAACAATAATATCAAAAGTACAGTTACCTATTTACCCACAGGACTGATTCCAGCAATTAAAATGCAGTTTTAAACACATATTCGCTATCTGACTGTCCACGACATTTGCAGTGCTAACAAACATGGGGGATACATTATCCCCTAGTTTTTACATGTCACAAAAGAATGTAAGAGACAAATTTGCATGAATACTAAATGAGAAATATACATCCCAATAATAACAGAAAGATTGGAGCGTTTAATTAAAAATTTACCCAAATACAGTATGTGGATTACAAATAATAGTCTTCTGGTTTCTCATGCCATGTAGTATTTTGTAGGAACACAGTTACTCCACCTTCAGCCTAAACCAAACTGCTACAAGGTGCAACAACCCAGGAGATCACCATCTGTATTCACACTACAATGAAACCTGTTGAAACAAATTGGCACTGCTTGCCTGCTGGATGAGGCGACGATGTAATGCCACATCTTCAGGTGTGATATCGGACCAGCAGTCTCCATTCAGCTGCATAGCACATAACAAGGTATCTCGAATGGTCAAGATGAGGTCCTGGACGCGAGCTGTCCGGAATAGTCTGCGAGTCAGAAATCCTCGAGCTGCGGCTGTTATTCGAGTAGCTGCGATCTAATAGCATCATTTTATTACAAGAAAGTTGAAAGTATCAGCATGGCAATGACACAAAGAAACAGAAATCAACGTTTACTAGATTACATCCTGCCTGATCCATATCTCATATTATGAATCTAGATAACCACATGAAAGCAGAGAGGTAGAACAAGCGGGATGGACAGAGACAGGGACACAAGGTTGGGTGTGTCAAATTACACAAAATCAACCTAGAATGATCATAACATTTTAAAACACAAAACTTACATTTTCAAGGTCATTGCTAATCAATGGAGGTACATGATGCAAAGCACCTTGGTCTTCATGAGCTGGAAACAACTGCCTAATGCAAGCTCTGCGGCCCGCATTACTTTCAGTCTGTCTGTCTTTGGACTCCATTATATTACACTCAAGCATAGGTGGGCTATTAGGAACAGAGTTCTGGACGGAATGTTTTATGTTCCCTGATAATGCTGAAACACTTGATAATAATTGAGGTGTATGTGAAAGAGGTAATACTGAGCAATTTGTGTTAAGCGTGTCTTCTTGTTTGTCGGTATTTTCTTCATCATTATGTTTCTGTAATAAGCCTAGTGGTAGTGGGGCTAAAACCTGAGTTCCCATATTCACGGTTATACTTGGTTGCGATGAATACATTACGAGATGTGCTTCCAGAGTATCAGGAATGCAGTTTTGTGAAGGATTCTGGGTGACTTCTTTCACTGATATATTCTCATGACTTGATTTTTCCGAAAGTGCCGTCATTTCACTTAAATCTTGTGTTTCACCTAGCAACAAGACTTGATCCTTCTCTGCTGAAGTTGAAATACTTGTCTGAAATCTTTCCATATTTGTATCTGATATAATACATTTACCATGCAGGTCATGTGTTGTTCCCAAAGTACCCGCACTCCCCAATGACGTACTTTTACTTGACAAACCAGAATGTATCAAACTATTGGGAGAATTAAAACTTCCATTTTCACTATTTTCCAAACAGTCACGTGGTGGAATCGACTGTGCCAGTGGTTTATGAGACTCTGGGGCATAAACTGCTGTAGAATAAACTTTACGGATTTCAAGGATCAGTTCATTCTGCTGTTGAAGAAAAGCCTCACGCAATTCTTCTTGTTCTTTTCGCTGTTTTGCCAACAGTTCGGCCATTTGTTGGCTGTGTGCAGACTGCATATGTAGAATCAACCCTTGAATATCCTGCTGTGAGGAAAAAGGCACAAAGTCAGTTTCATTTATTTTCTTTATATTTTCTTGAGATGCTGCACATAAATTTTTTATGGATGAATCCTTCCTGAGAATCTTTGTTGGTGATTTCTTCTGGGATGTCCCAACCCTGTTAATTTTTTTGGTAGCAATTGAAGAAGCGCTGTTTTTGAAACTGCCTCTATTTTTCTTTGGAGTTGAAGGCTGCGGGAAAGTTTTCACTGATTCTGTGCACACAGCTGATGGCAGACAATCCAGTGATGCAAATGGCGTCTGAAGCTTGATGGGGCTTGATGTGTTACTGGCAGGGAGAGAGGAATTGTGGCAACCAGTAAAGGAAGCATGTACAGAAGACTGTAATTTCTTGCTATACTTAGCCTTCTCACTGAATAATGCAAATAATGATTTGCCTTTCTTCTTATAACTTTCAGACATTATTTCCAAAGCTTTTCTAGGTGGTTTTGGAGGAATGCGTGAACCCTCAGTCATATCAGAAACAGAATTCTTTCCTTTCATCACCATGTGAGCTACAAGTACAGGGCTTGGTGTATCCAATGTGTACGAGTTCTGACGCACAAGTCTTGGCGGTGTTACCTCTGGTTTCGGAATGGCACATTCATTTGTCTCCTTAGCATTCTCTTCAGTATTGTTAGAGTCACATATACATTTATTAATTGGAATAGCAGAAGTTTCTGAGTCATCATGTTCATGAGAACACCTGTGGTGAATATTTAGTTTGGGTACAATAACGCAATTGGCTTGATCTTGTACATGACAACTGGTACATTTTTCATTAAAAGTCTTAGCAGTACATGCTGCAAAGTGTACATTCACAGGGCACCCTTTTGTGGAATTGACTTTCGTATCACCTGGTGAATAATTCTGCTGAAGTAATTCCTCAACAACACAGACAATGTCTTTATTTGAACCAGTTCGCAGTTTGTCATCAACAAAGTTTTGTTTATATTGTTGAGCTTCAGTTTCATCAGATAAAGAACTGTGATTTGAAATACAATTTGATTCCCTGGAAGTTAACAATTGTAAATTTTGCCCGCTGGCACAGTTTTTGGTCAGTAAAGATTTTTGTGGTGCTACTATGTTAGATGCATTGTGAAGTACATCCTGCCCTGACCACTTGCAATTATGGAGTGTTGCAACATCCCTGCTAGGGGATCCACTGCTACTGCTGCCTGTGATGTTCATGTAATGATTGAGATCAGTGCTGGACGTCATAGCTGCAGAGCTTGCTCTGTCTTCGAAATTTTCATGGATTAACGTATGAGGCGTGCTATTGTTAACACCTGTCAACCCTGAAAACCCTGCACTTTCCGGAGAATTGTGTTTTAAAATGTATTCATTCAGTACATCTCTCCCATCGGATTCCCAAGTATTAAACCTCAAAGAATCTTCATTTCCACATGATTCAGACTGTAAGCCTTTAGAGGTATCTATAATCTCTTCAGAGATTTCCACGGGTTTACTTATATCATCCGTTATATACGCTTTCTTGCTGAGGCACGGAATGTCTAGTTGAGGTACGTTAGGTTTCTCTGCCTTCTGACTGTGCAAAAAAATCATACTGTTTATTTCTGATTGAAGTTCAATATGTTCACGTGAATTTTCATTATGAATTTCATTTTGATGTGTAAACACTTTATAATTAACACATTCACTTCTTGAACCAGTAGTATTATTATCTGATCCACATTTCTGTCCATGATCATCAGTCCCACTAATTGGTGTTACTAAATTGTCAGTGAAGTGCTGATGCATGCCATTTTTAATCCGCATGCGCTGAGCACTTTGTACTAAGTTTCCATTTACATCATTGTCAGTTAGAACATGTTCTGGCCTCTGCTGATTACCATTCACACCATTTTTATTCTCCTGATGTGGATTATCCTTATGACTTTCATTATTACTGTTACTATTATGTACCTCGTCTGATGGCTCACATACAACACAATTTGAACCAAATAAACTGAACCCAGAGCTTTGCCTCATGTTCTCTGAATCACATTTGTCAGAAACCTCGAGTACACATTTAACATTACTATTCTGGATCGAGGAATCTTGGGTTCTTAAACATAAACCCTCTGTTCCTCTGGCATCCAGTGCTAGACTACCATTTTCTGTTGTATTTGAATTATTTTGAACCACATTCTGCTGAGTGGATTCCAAGACACAGTTACTCTGCAAACTATCCTGTTGAAATGTTTCTGCCATACTAACTGACCCAGAAATTAAATTAGCATTTGTGACAGTTCTTGATTTTAATTCATTGCAAGGGATCTGTTTCTTAATCACTGCACTATTTAATGGAGTACTATTTCCTGATATGGTGAATGTAGATTCCACTTCACCACCACTATCATTAATAATTCTTCTGTTGGTACACAAGTAATAACCACTTGAAGAGAGTTCAGGGTCTTCCAGAATGGTATATCCACTGTCCACACTATTCCTTTCACTATTACAGTCCTTCCTCGTCCAACCTTGAAGTCGAGCTTCCACAATCACAGCCAGGTGTTTGTAATGCCTCATCTCTGCTCTACGTGTAGGAGACATCTATAACAATCACATTAAAATGCCAGTAAATGTATTTATTAAGTTCTATATTTCTGAGATAAAGGGTATGTCTCTTACAGCCTCTTTTACTTTAATGCCAAATTCATCTCCCTTCTGACAAATCACAATCTGCCCACAGAGTTACAGCAGTATAATCATTACATACATACAGTGTAGGAATACCTCTATGTACATTTATATTAAGTTTAATTTTCAAGTTTTGGTTTGGTTAATGTAATTTTTAGAGAGATGTAAATATACAATGCAGATGATTTGAAACCTATATTTTTAATCAAATGATTCTTGAGGAATCTCAAACTTAAAATATCTGAGTATGTTTCTAAATCCACTCAAGTTGGCTGTCAACATGGTTAGAGTTTTCTTCAAACTGCACAAATGATTTGGTCTTATACTTCCACAGATTAGCTGGTTGGATAATGAACACCAGTCACCAGTTTTCTTATAACATTTAGCAGGCAACTTTGAACATACCGTATTATAGTTTCCTAAAGTGGGGCTAAAATAATCATGTTTCACCATAACATTTCATACTGTATTGCTGAAGCAAATATATTTGCTATTTCAGCATATATATCTTAGATTCTAATAGCTTCTTTCATTGGAGTCAGGCTACATTAGTTCAGGTTATGTTATATGACAAATATAGTGCATGAAGAAGCATCCTGCATAGCTGCATTGACCAACTACAGAAAAGTTCAAGGGAACACATAGCATAATTTAATGCCTATATCAGATATTTTTGTTATACAGCAATAAAGTGAAATGCATTAAGGCAAACGGTGTTTACTTAGTTTTGACCTACATATCTCACAACTATAATTGTATGAATATATCCTGTCTGAATTCATCACTTTTGAGTAAGACAGGATGTAGCAGGTTACATCAAGGCAATTTTTTTATTTGAGAGTATTGTAAAATATGATATGTGCTATAGTCTCAACTCACCAGTGGAGGTATAATAGGTTTCCCATTTATCTTCATACAGGACACATACAGTGACTTATTACAATCAGATGTAGTTCTATCCATGATTTATGTAATGACATAAATATAACCCTATACTAATTTTATTTCTTCCCCATGTTCCTTCTAAGACTGTTTCAACGCAATGCGTGACGAAACTAACGGCGTGTTAACACAAATAAGAAAAATACTCATTTTATACTTAACAAGAACGTAACTGAAACACTCCCAACATCCGTCATAAACAACTTCAAACTTTTCAAACCGGGCGCCTTCATAAATTTCTAAATTCAATGCCTGACTAGAGTACGATGGAAAACCACTGAACTTTCAATAACGAATCTTCATTTCTGGCTATTAGAGTACAACTTAGGACAACCTCTGGTTATCGCAGTCTTTTACTTTATTTCGTATTTCAGTTGTAATGGGGTGGGCACAATCGAATTGGTACGAATTCGATAGTTGAATGTACCAACCTAATGAACTATACGATTGCTTATATTCGGATTTTAAAGCGAATGGAAGAAATCAATCCAATCAATGATGGCTTAATTTCTCGGAAGCCGCCTCATGTTCATACATTTCAAAACTTTTTTTCCAACTTCTGACGGAGGTTTGAGTGTTTTGCGTTTGCTTTTGCATTTAATCCAGTTCCCAAGGGAAACATGTAAATTATTTTCTAGCACGTTCTCATGACGGCGAGTACGAAGCCGGCTTATTTTCTGGTTTGTAGTGCCGTGTATATCATAGTTTACCATTTAGCATGTTTCTTTGAACGTGTATGACCCGCTGTGATTTTATAAGCAATCATCTTCACATTATTTAACCACTGTGAGAGTAACTTATTTCTCGAGTTTTTTTGAGCATTTCTAATACTAACTGCTACCACCAGATCATTTTATAGTATTTTCGCAATGTTGGAGACATGACAGCACAATTTTTACCTGACATTCACATTGCCAACTTACATTAATTCGTAATCTTAATGTTGGTATTAATTTATGTCAGGCAGTGAGTAAGGGGCGTGCTCAGGGCAAACGAATAGCGTAGATGGTCATATTCCACGAGTATGTCATGTGAGAGAGCTGTGATGTCCCGAAATTTCAACACCGCTAACACAAAAGACTATCATAAACCAACTCAATCCAGTCTGTTTTGCTGAGATAAATTTTATTCTATTTTCAACTCCAGCACGTCTCTGGCACATCATATACCGACTCACTTATCATTTCAAGTTTATACCACATATGTGACACAGTTGCTGCATAATCATGGATTCTGTACAAATTCTCAGAATCATGCACTGCTGCCTTGACCCACTTAAAAGTTTATTTAGTGGCATTCCTCCGTTCAGGGTCCAACCAGCAGTGCTTGACATATTCCTGTCCATACAATATCAAAGTCAGTCACTGGGCATGACTATGAGCAAGACCAGCCACCTTCCATCCTCACAACCCATCTATCTAAGACCTGTCTTCAAAACTTTCACTCAACAGGTTCGCTTGAAGTATTTTGGTATCTCAGGCATATATTTGTCTCAGAAAGAATTCTGGCATTACTGTATGTGCAGAGACTTTATTCACCACAGGAACTGTGAAGAAGTCATGATACTACAATAAGTTAGATCAAAATTGGTTGGTTTTGGGTGTGAGGTTTAAAGGGGATGGTACCAGACATTTTCATGAGTGTGAGTAAGATATTAAGCACCCCTGCTTCATGTTAAAGAGGCCCTGTGCTCGAATTCTGTTTTCCTCAGTTCATCCAGGCAAATGTTGGGACTGCTTCTTTCCATACCCTTTCTAATTCATTTATCATCAACTCATTCAGCACTACATAGTCTAAACTACTAACACCACTGTTAAATAAGCTATATATAAATTCAACTGCAGCCTGTCTGAATTCTAGAAAGATTGTTGCTCTTATGGGCTTTCACTGCCAAGAGCCCATCCATTCCAGCTAAATTCTTTCCAGAGGTTCTTGTTTATGTTATATACATGTATGCATGCATGCACAAAAATTACTAACAGCATTGTTGCTACATTATATTATGCCACAATGAACAGGAGTAAAATATCACAGCACAACAATACAGTTTTAAAGACAAATAGAATATACAATTATTTAATTTCTATACCAGAAATATTACAACTATAAAGTCTGCATGTACTTGGCACATTTCAAACACTTTCCTTCTTAAACTGAGTCACATTCTTTGAAATTTTCATTCATCTACTAATTTAAAAAAAAAAAAAACACACTACGTTTCAGGGATTGAGATAAGCCGTTTCCAGTGGACTGGGCTGTAAGGTTTCACATGACAGAAGTAGATGCTGCTTCCAAAACTCACGTTTTTAAAATTGTTTAAATTTTTTAAACTAATATATGAAGGAAAATGCCCAAGAATATGAATGTTCCATAACAAATATCACACATCATAATTAAATTGACAACAAACTAATTAAACCTTCATTTCTCAAAGCAAAATAAATATTCAGTGGCTTCACATATATCCAATATACTTTTGTTTTGATATAAATCACATCACTGATTCTCAAGTGTAGCTATAACCTGTCCTCATTATATTACAATTAATGTGAAAAGTAACCATATTTAAGATTACTGTGGATCTTGGTGATGGCACTGGATCACCATCTTCCACAATCTTAAAGGTGTTAATTACAACCATTTCCTCAACCTCTACATGGTTTCCCTTCAACACATATTAAGGGAGGAGGGGGAGGTGGACAAGAAGAAATGAAAAGTAACTTTGTCATTGCCCTCATCAGTGTTGATTTACTAGCTTTATAAAAAATTTCAAAATTACCTCTGAAGCTTTATAAACATAAGAGAATTAAAATGGACAAAAAACTGTGGTTTAAAGTAGCCATATTGTAAAACTATCACACAAAGTTTCATTGAAGCAGTGTGTTTCAAATGATTACATATACACATGAAGTTTTACTGCAGAAGATTTCACAATCTCTGACCTGAAATAGAAATCTATGGTTTACACGTCTACTGATGGAACTGAGCTCCACCTTGCTGGATGCAATCTGACTTCTACAAGTGTTGGAAAGAGTAATGTAAAGACCTTGTCAAAAACGTGAACACTGTCTACACAGTAACATAGAGCCTTACCTTATTAAAGACATAACACTGATTTAGCAGAGTTTATTTTGAACTGGAATGTATCAGACTAACTACCTGTTACGTTATCAGGCTATTTTCCTCTATTGATCAAGGACAGAACTCAACTCTTCAGAAAGCTACAGTACTGTACCAGTATATAAAGCTAACAAACTGTGATGCAAGAAACAGATCTGTAAAAGAATATATATAGTGAAATGTCTTACATTTCATAACAGCAACTATTTATGTTGTAGCTGACTGAACATCATTGCTTCTCATGCAATTACAATAATCTTCCATCGTCTAAACACGCCTGCTTATATGATGATATTCACAACCTGACGAAGGACATTTAAGTACATTTAAAATAAAATATTTCTTTACTTAACATGTTTTTTTAATACAGAGGTTTTCTGTCTTCAGAGGCATCAGTTATTGAAATATGTTCTAAAAATTCATCTATGCAGGAGAGCCACCAGTGACTACAGTGGTGTGGCAAGTCCATGGAAGTAAAAAGGACAATTTATTTTGAAAAAAAGTGTTTAATATAGAGAGAAATTACACATATACATGTGGAGCAAAGGAAATTATCACAGCATTTATTTTACCATTTATAAATCACATGAAGTTTCAGAATGACAACTTAATTCTAATAAAATACTGAACAAGCAAGATCAAGAAAAAGTGGCAGACACAGACTTCGAAGACTAAGTATTAATCTCTGAAACCTAGAAGTTAATTATCAAAACTGACAACACTATTCATATTAGTGTGCAACACAGGAAAACAAATACGACCACATTTTTTTCTCATAATGGAACACGTGACTTCTGAGACATGAAAGTGGGCAAAACTGTGTGGTTACTTTCTTTTAATACACTGTCTATGCTCTACAGTACCAGTTTAGAAGCAATATAGCCAATGCAGAATGCAATTGGATAACCCACTGTACTTTTCTTGTTCACAATTTTAAATATAGGACTTCTGGTTTGTGGGCATCACTTAGTTCAAGTCCATACCATCAGATGGAATGAAAACATAACAAGCAGCAAATGATGTTCACCAATATTTTAAAGTTTTAGTGCAATTTTGGAGAATCGAAGGGTGGGCACCCATTTTGGGTATTTACCAAAATATGGTTTGCAAAGGCCCACATTTCAAGTTTAGGTTATAATAAGACTCATACCTACATCCATAAGTAGAATGCAAGAATTACAAAACCCAACAATAATATATTTCTGATGACATTCCATGACAAAGTGGTGCCCTCATGTACTGAATATAATCCAATAAAGTTGGGTCAGATTTGGTGTGAAAATATCTATTTTATGAAATCTCTCGCACAATGAAATGGTCACTTAAATGTATCAAAAATTCTTTCTTACAAATCTCCTTGTAATGAAGATGTCCGAATATTAGACACTTCCTGGTCCCAGTAAAATGGAATTTATTTAGGCCCATATATGTAAATCAAATCTAAAAGTCCATGACGATGGTTGAGTTATTGGAATAAAAATTTCCTTAGATATTTTCAATCATCTAGTAAAATAATAAAATAGAAAATGACATTTCAGAGATGGGTCTCTATCTCCGTGTTCAGGTACCCACTCTGTTGGGCCCAATAAATAGAGCTAAACCCTATCTCCAGACAAAGCAAAAAAGTGAAAGTCCTGGAATATAAGAAGATCACACCATCCAATCATGGGACATAAAAAAGACAACACTCCATAACCAATTATAAAAATCAGGCTCCTGTAATGGACCAACCAAGAGAGAAAATGAATAAAATAGAAATAGTTGACACTCAAATAGTTAAACGTGAGAAAAGCCAAATAAAAAGTAGTCAGTGGAACCACAGTTCCGGAGAATTTGACGTAAATACGTCTATACGGAAAGGAATTATATATTTTGGCTTTATTCTAAATATTTCCTTTATACATGCTTTACATGTTGGCACTTCTGGGAGAGGGGGTATAGCTACTACTCATTCTCAACCTCGGCAATAGAAGCGTGTGAGCGGTCAGCAGCACACCCCGACCACACTTTACCCCCAGGAAAGGACTCTGGTATCCATTAGGTGGGTCCCAGATCCAGTCTGAATGCAGAGGCTAGAAGGAAATCCTTTGCCTCTGTTGGGGATCAAAACCCACTTAACCAGTCTGAAGCCAGTCATTATACTGCAAGAGGTACTCGGCTCAGACGATATATATGTACCTGCAGTAAATTAGTGTCATGGCCAATGAAGTATGAAAAATTGCAAAGAACACACCTGGAAAATAATCTCTAAACTCTTGTCTCCTCCTCACAGTCCCTTCAGGTACCACCACTACAGTTATCTGTACTTCTTTAAGCTTGTGCTACAATAACTTGTTACATCAAAAACTTTGCTGAGTCCTACAAAAGGGTACACTTGGCTACCACCTACATGACACCACAGTGGTACATATGGATTATATAGCAGTTTGGAAAAGGGATTTCTGTGTAAAAGAAGGGCATGAGGAATGCTATATTACAGAAGCCAAGGTATAAAACCTGCAAAAGTTGATATTTCTGGTAACAAAAATGTGCGCTCTTCCCATTAGCATTTGGCAACACAAGGGTTAAAATTCCATGTCATTCATATGTGAACACCTTGTAAAAACATATACATATATCACAAAATTTAAAATATTGTACGTAACAATTCTTAACACATTTTCATAAACCATATGAATACATACACACTCATCGTATAAGCTTCGTCACCTAAATTAATATACACATTCACAGATAATTAGTAGCAGTGAAATCTCAATATAATCCCTAAACTGTTCTTTAACAGGCACACTACACAGCCTTTTGGATGGTATAGGAGTCACGCTCCCTGGGTAGCTACTGTACCATACAATGCGGCCAACAGTCCACGTTATTAGTATAGAGGGGACTTAGATGCTTAATGCTTCTACAGATATTTTTAGGAATGTGAATTAAAGCCAGATATATGAAGTTCAAAGTTCTTACAATGTTCATAAGTAAACGCTAACAAAAACCTTCAGGGATGGAATGTTACAACATGAGAAAATCAACAATTTGAACTAGCAGTTAAAAGTGAGCAAATATAACAATAATAACAACTAAATTAGTGTTCAATTGCAACTTCATCAAACAAATGAATGCAACAGGACAGACCACACATGACAATACTGGGGACTTCATTCACTCACAAACAGGCACAGAACTCATGGATATTAAATGGGGTTAAACTGTCAGGTATACATAACGTAGAACTTCAAGAGCAATGTTATATTATCGGATTCCAGTAGTACGTAGAGTTACAGTTAAGTTCAGTATGGTAAATTAATAGATTTGCTGACAAAGTCAACTTAGGTCAACCTATTAAAACTTGCATAAAATTGAAAGATGCTACATGGATTAAAAGACTGACGAGGGACTTAAATCAAGTGGTCAAGATACCAATGCGGACATTTCAGGATCACCAGAAATGCATCAAGATTATCAAATGACAGGTCAAGCCAGTGTATTAAAGTAGATGTAAAATGTTGTCCGAGTATCAAATGATTGCAGACTTGCTGATAAAAGCCTTTGAGGCGGTGAAGCAAAGGGAAATCATAAACGGATTAGACTTAATAATGACTGTTAATAAGAGGTGGACTAATGCAATGCTCAAACATGTTTGCAAGGGTAATCATCGTGGGGAGGGCTTAATATACAGTGATTAATGACATTAGAAATTTTTGAATAACGTACATAATGTAGGATGTGAGAGCAATTTCCTGTGATCACACATGGGTATTTTGTAGTTACAGTTAAAATAATTATACAGGGAATTCCATTTGTCCTTAGACTGGCCAACTATAAAACTGTTCATCCACTCACAGCCACTGAACCATATCTTTGTCACTAGATGCTTGCCGGCATATGTAGATAGCACTGCATGTTTATCATTGTTAGTTGTCGTTGAGATACGTGCAAGTATAGTTTGCAGTGTTGTGAAATACAGAGTTCAAAAATTAAATATACTGTTGAACAGAAATTATTCATATACGATACATTTATACAGCAGTCTTCATTGATGAAATGCTGCAGAAAGTTTCAAAGGACATATTCTTAAAGTACAGCGCCATGTAAAGCTATGATTTACAATACTGTAACAAATCGGTCTTTTACATTAAACAAAATTTAATGTAAAATGATCAGCATTTAAAGGTTAAATTCATATTTTCCCTAAATGCATTAAATTGGGATTCCACTGCAGGTATACATGATAAATCTGAGGACGAAGTATAGGAATAGACTGACTAAATAAATATACAAAACAGATATCTGAAATGTTTACATCCGGCTTGACAATGTGATAATTCCTATGCTCTTTCATATCTTACAGACTAAAAAGCCTCTACGTACCATTTCTCCTTGGCCAAATTAATAAAATGGATATTTTGAACACATCCGTATCACTCCGAGGAATGGTAATGAATTCTCAAAGTTCATAATTTGTAGAATATAAGGCACTGCTAATATATAAATACAATTCACTACAAAACCAGCAGACATTTAGCACAATATCACAGAAATGACTATATACTATACTAATATATAAAATCCATAAAATAATTTTTTTATATTCTACGTTATGGTTATTGAATGGAACCTGAAAAAGAAAGATATCATTAGAGAAACATGTAAAATATTAAAATGAGATACAAATGCCAGGACAGAAGACAGCATGAATAGTGTTTGTGCCATAGTCAGTTACAACAAGAGCTACAGCTGAAGTTTCAAAGGCAGGAATATAAATGCTCCATTACATCATCTGCAATGTACAAACCTCTTGGATATCAAATCAGAGTCAGGAAAACAATGCAGAAGGACAAAGGAAACACATTTTGTGAGTGAACAGGATGTACCTAGTTAATAACTGAAGGCTTGATCCACAGTACCTCACGAATCTCAATTCTGGTTCAAGCAGTAAAGTAAAGTTTGTCCCGCTACGTGCCATACAGGCACTTGGGGGGAGCGGAGGTATAGCTCCTCTCTTTCTTGACCTCGGCACTAGATGGGGGTGAGTGGTCAGCACCACGTCCCGGCCGGCTTTACCCCCGGGAAAGGACCCATTGGACAGGAGGCTGGGTGGGCCCCAGAGCCGGTCTGGAGGCAGAGGCTAGAGGAAAAATCCTCTGCCCCTGTCAGGGATCAAACCCCGATGGTTCAAGCAGTAGTGAAATAGTTACAACCAGAGTGAAAATTGTTGCCAGCATATTTCATATTAAAAGAACAATGCTAGGAAACTGATATTTAGCAGAACATGCCACAGGTAACACAGAAATATATTTCAGGCTCAAATGATTAAAGTGTGATAAACTTATATATTAAAGTGTGTATTACTAACTCAAGTCATTAGTAAATAACCCTCTGGTATGGAGCACTAACACAGGTTAATTTCTGTGAGCAACCCTTCCCTTCTTTACCTCCAGATAATAAGGTGGATGAGCTCCAGAATGGTTCTGGGTAACATGAAAAAAGAAATCCCCTATATTCTTGTCATGAATCGAACAGCAATGTTTGGCTTTGCCAATTACAAACTAAAGTAATTTCTCAGAATTTTAATAACAACTGAAAATGCTTGAAACAGCTGTTACTTTACTCTTTAATGACTTAACAATATCACAATTTTCATTCCTGGTACTCACGTGCTCTATTAATTTCCTTTTCTTCTTTAATTTTCTTTGTAACTTCCATGCTCCAAGACTGCTCTGTTGCTGAAGCAAATACAATGTAGAAGAGATTTCCAACAATGCTCACTGCTGCCGCTATGTAGAATACCTTACGCCATTGACTTAAGGTATCCTGAAAAGTGTTAAAGGATTTTATTGTGGATATCTCTGTAACCTTTATCCCGTGCAATTTGAATTCCGCATTTGTGGGTTGCTGGCCAGATCTCATGGAGAAATTTAATTGAAATTATATTTTTATGCAACTTGCACAAGTTCATGCTCAATGGGAAGGTAATTTAAAATGAAATTTTGTATCTGGCATCTACACTAACGTTCTCATTTTAATTTAGGCTGTATAAATGAAATACAAAACCTTCTCTCCATAAAGCCTACATCAATTCTGTCATTGTTCACAGAAACAGCTATCTGTACAAATAATTTGTGTATAATTAAAATTTAAAGTGTATTAATTGCACATGATGTGGTTAATACATTTTTTTCTATGTGACAAATATTTAACAAGATACGCGTCATTAGTTTTTATTTCTGTTGTTGAAAAAAGTACATGTTAAGCAATGAAGTATGCAAAGATTTTCATGGTTTAATAAATTAAAATTAAATTATTTGGTTATTCCGTCAAATCACAATGTATTTAAAATAAGATAATTAAAATAATTAAAATATCATTCTGTGTTCCATATCGAATAATCGATACTGTTCCAATTGTAAATCTATTATTCGATATGGAACACAGAATGATATTTTAATTATTTTAATTATCTTATTTTAAATACATTGTGATTTGACGGAATAACCAAATAATTTAATTTTAATTTAATAAATCACAATATGACGCAACTACACTATCTTATGGTTTAATAAGTTTTACTGAAAGATTTATAAAAGTTAATGTCATTCAATATATACAAATATTGGTACCTTAAAATATGTTACAACCACTTTCTCCAGCATCTTCCTTCATTCACTATTCATAATCTATCATCACATCTCACTAAACATTACACGATATCAGTAAGTGATACAGCGACATAACGTAACTAAAGGGGGGGGGAAGTAATGGAATTAAAGTTAGAACACGTCACATTTATAACTTAAGCATAGAAGTAGCGATCAGTTCCTGAATAATGGTATAAAGACTCACATTTCCTTTGATTAGCAAGCCAATTGCATACGGAGCAAGAAATCCACAAGCATTAGATGCAGCATTGGTGATGCCATACATCGTCCCAGCATAATGTGGACTAAGTGTGATATGGTTCATCTGATTACCAGCATAAACAGCACCACCAAACCCTCCTGAAATAGCCAGTAAAAGCAAGATGGCCAGGCGGTCGCAGCCAACCCAAGCTACTGCCACCAGACCAAGAGCCGGTACTACTGCACCTGAAAGGAAATTTAATACCAAAACTCTTTTAGATACAGCTGATATAAGAGTGCAGAGAAAACTATGTATAATTTTACCTGTTGTTTTGTATGGGTGTGAAGCTTGGTCCCTCACATTAAAGGATGAACCTAGATTAAGGGTGGTTGTGAACAGGGTGCTCAGGGTAATATTTGGAGTGGTGAAGTGTCAAGAGACTGGAGAAAACAGCATAATGAGGAACTTCGCAATTTGTACTCTTCACCAAATGTTGTTAGTATGAACAAATCAGGGAGTATGAGATGGGTAGGGCACGTAGCATGAATCATGTTATGGAAACTGAACACAACATCTTGTTGGAAATTGGTTGGAAAGCCTGAAGGGAAGACGAAGGCGCAGATCGGAGGAAATGGAGCAGTGATGAGCTCTTGTGAACATAGCAACGAACCGTCAAGTTCCATAAAACATGGGAAATTTCTTGACTAGCTGAATGACTATCAGGATGTGAAGAAGGGTTCTGCTCCATGGAGTTAGTTATCAGTTCTGTTATGCACAAGTGCAGATAACATTGACTACAATCTGCGGAACTATCCAAAAGAAACACAACAAATTATTAAAACTTACTAAATTTATAGGAATGTGTTGGTTGACCTGTCAAAATTAGATTGAAACTGATATCCAAAAATAAAACTGTTTTTAACGTTGAATAACGTTTATAAAATCACGGTACACTCGACAGAAACTGTAAGATGTAAGGTAACGCTGGTGTGTAACTTCTTCAAACGCCAATAACTCGAGACCTATGTAAGATAGAGAATATAAACATATATATTTAAAGAGTAAATAAAGGGCTTTTTCTACATTATGTTTACTTTATTCTATAAATTGTTGAAATAATTACCCAAAACATGTAATAACTATACCCTCGTTCCTTAAGTTCAACGGCTTGCCACGTCTAAAGCGTAAGAGTTAGATCTGGACATATTGTGAGTGAAATATGTAAATAAACACGAACTTTTCAAATTTGCAAACAGATTTCAGCTAACTCTTACGGTTTAGGAGTTTTGACCATTTATTTGGTAACAAAGAATGGTTCTAGAGTGAGCGTGTTGAGTACATGACGCAACACATAGATGAGCTGTTTGCGGATGACGTCACGTATAGATAAGATATAAAGGTATACATTAATGTGTAAATAAAATTTTATTTCAGTACAAATATACTTCTACAGTTAAACGTTATTCAACGTTAACTAGGGAACCGTGGTTCCACTGTCAATTTTTTTTGTTTGTAATGCCTCCAGCTGTGGTCTTCTGAACTTCTGGTCTCTGCAGGAAGAAAGAATCGACTTCTGAGAACAGAGCACCCACAGGAGTGGTTCTGTTTCAACCTGATAAGTTGGAGTTAATGGCCAGAAATCCCAAACACTCACAGAGTCTGAACTTTATGAGAGTGATGGATCTGAATGACATGCAGAAAAATCCAAACTTGAATGGCCATTCTTATGTGATAACATTTAATTTTGAATATAGTGGTTAAAATCTCCTAACACTTATACAGACCATAGCTCTTCTTGAGAAGCTGCTAGCATGCTCAGCTAGAGAAAAAAATCCTAACTTTTATGGAATCAAAAGGTTCATTATGGTGTTCACAGAAGCCCAACACTGGTCCACATCCTTAGATGAAACAAATCCACTAACCAACCCTATATTCCCAATTAAATTAATTAAATTAAATCCGTGGCATAACAGCTCCAGAGAGCCTAAGCCAGCTAGCTCGACTGCTGGCCTCACGTTCACATGCCTAAGCAGAGATGAACGATCATCCAACCAGATACAGGGTGACGTGTGGTCAGCACGACAAACCCCCAGCCATTGCTAGCTTCCTTGACCGGATTACGCTACTCATTGTAGCTCCCCAATTTCCTCATGATGCTGGGTTGGCACCGATCCCACACACTGGTCAAAAGCTCATGAGAAAATTTCTTCTCCCCCGAGACCCGAACCAGCGCACATTCCGTATCGTTGGTCAGAAGCATGATGCCTCAGACCGCGCGGCTACGGCGCACTATATTCCCAATACCCATTTTAATATTATCCTCCTGTCTACGCCAACATTTTGTAATGTTTTTAATCTCCCTATGTACTACATGCCCCACCAATCACACCCTCCTTGATTATATAAGCCTAATATTTGGAGAAGAGTATTTATTCATTATGGACGCCTCACTGCACACTTCTTTCAAACATCTAGTCATTTTATCCCTCTTAGGTCAATAAATTCTCCTGTGCCCCCTGTTCTCAAATGCCCACAGTATATGTTCCTCCCTTAGCAAGAGAGACCAAATTTCACACCCATACAAAACCAGAGGTACTCTAATTCCATTAACAAGAATACAAAGAAGTACTCTGGTGGAATTTACATATGATTGATTTTGACATTTTTGCAAACCCTATTGGCCTTGATGTTCATTTATTGCAGATACAAATCCACTCTCACAAAGATAAATGTACTACAGCTGTAAGTGAACAGAGCCAATCCATGACAGGTTAGACTTTGTGAATAAGCATTAACAATCTGACCACGAGATGAAGAAATAAAGAGAAAAAAAGAGAGATAATGTCACAGATTTATGGGCTAAGACCTCATACCTAGTCCGCCCCCATCACATCAGTATGTAACGTGCCTCCTGAAAGCATTTCAGATACTCTACAAACAACGAGAAACAGTGCTATCCATCCATAGCTTTAGTTTACAGAATTGCAGGAGGAAAAGGGAGAAGCGGATTCGGTTTCCTCAGAATATCAGACTCAATACGCTACGTTACTCACCAAGAGAATTGAACACTTTGTAGGAATTGAGGACAGAAAAAAAGCCCTTTGCGATCAGCCAGTCAGCAATATGGCTGAATCCTATTCCAAACAACCAGCTTGTTAAATATGGTAATGTAGATAACATGCTATTCTGAAACACAATAAAAAATTCACCACTATAATTATTCATAGACATAATGAAGTACCAGTACTTATTACATATTTCATAAACAAATTATTTACTTGAAAAATATAATGCACACATCCCACAATATACAATGGTAACATAACCAAATTTTAACCATCTAATATCCTATCAGCAGTTCCTTTATGGTCGTATATGAATCATCTTAATCTTTTAAGTTCTCAAAGGAATTATATTATCACCAATGCTAAATCTGACTAAATTCTGTGGTACTGTTGCTAATTTAGAAGGTGAATATAATGTTTCCAGATTTTAGTCTTCATTCTTGCTTCTGTAGAAACTTGATCTGTACTGCTTTGGAATTATCTAACCTAGTTTATATCTAGTGTTTTGTTCTGTATATCATAATAGCTGAACAGTTTGTTTACATAACATTCATCTTTCATTAAACTACTTGGTTCCAAATTATCTCTCCAAACCTCGTACATTTCATGGCTCTACAGATTCTCAAATAAAATCAATGCTGACATGCAAAAATCCATGATTTAATTTCCTACAATATATATATTTATTTTCACAGTCTACAATATATTAGAGAAATTAACAAAACAATCGTGTTTTAACCCTTTAAAGCCCAATGGTAACCATAGACCAGCTGTTGTAACAACCAATAATTTTGTATTTCTTACTTATTCGTTTTGCACTGCAGACAGGGATTATTTACTTAAACAGCATTAATCAGTTAATTTTTACAGTGGGGGTGTTGTGTTTTCTTTGAGGTACAAGCTAAATTCTTAAATATTATTTAGATGAGCTCTGGCTTCAAAGTGTTGACAAAAAAGATTAGGTCCTTCAATCACCAACAATTTCCACCTACATTTTGCCAGAAGTAGCAAATTTTTTGTTGTACTTAACATTTCTGGGTGGGAAGGTCTGTTAGAAATCTCTCCTCACCATACAGACAGAGCTACCAACATTTCCATATAAAAACGATTCACAGTATGAACAAAAGAAGACAGCATGACTTTAGTCTCATGGAAATCTCCTTGCCAAACAGCTCCATAGATTACATAAAAGAAATTCGTACCTAATTTTTTTTTACATCCAATACTGTTTTATATAGAAATTTCAATAAAACAAATTCCAAAAACATTTTAACCTCAAATATCACTGCATGAAATGTTAACTGCACTCTAATTCTACCAGTATTTGTATATCCTTTCGTGATAACTCTTCGTCCCTCCTTACCAACACACACATTAAATAAATCACTGGGTCTTCATTCCTTTAAAAAATATTTATGACGAATATGAGCTGGCAGAGAAGTAAAAACAAAGCAAGCAATCATTACCTGTTTCGAAATCCTTCTGAATGAGCTATGGGAAACCCTAACAGCTAACCTCTAGTGAAAGAGACATGAACCTCATGATATTGTTATACTAATTATGAATACTTACTTGGGTAATATCAAATTGTAAAATATTCTTCATATATGTTGGCAACTCTGTTAGTTGTGTATAAAACAACCAAGACATACCACACTGAGTCACCAGTATGGCCCACATAGGAGCAGACGTCAAGATTGACTTCCATGGTACACTTCTGTCTCCACCCTGAAAGAAAGAAATTCAATAACCAAGATACTGCATGATTCAGAATATCAGAAAATATGGTATTTGTCTCATATGACTTTGTGCTAAATGCATTTCCTCTTGCTGCACATTACCCCATTATGATAACGTTGCGACAGATATAAAACAAAAAATAGACAAATTCATACAGTACGGGCTCAGCACGTAAGCATGGTCTGTACTTAACAGAGTAAAAACACAAGTCTTTGTGGCACAGTATGTGTAGGCCTGCTGTTGATTTGATCTGTCAACATTAATTTTATGTTTTCAATAAATAAACATAAAAAAGCTACAGAGGGATACAAAATTGAATTAAGTGTATTTGGAAATTATGTATTCTCCAAACTACAACACACAATATATATTCATACATTATTTTTGTGTTTCCCAAAAGCTTAACATAACAATGTAAGACTTGAGGTTCTCACAGCGGTGAGTATGAAGATTGTCGTCTTCTGGGTTGTTGCGCTGTGTAGTCTGGTCGATGTTAACCAACGTTTCAGAGGTCATACTGCCTCCGTCATCAGAGTATGAAGATTTCTGTCTTCTGGGTTGTTGCGCTGTGTAGTCTGGTCGATGTCAACCAACGTTTCAGAGGTCATACTGCCTCCGTCATCCCTAATGACGGAGGCAACAACCCAGAAGACGGAAATCTTCTTAACATAACAATGTTTTAAGATGCTGAGCAGTAGCTTATAACTCCAGGTATCATGTGACACCCTGGTCTCTGTTTGTGCTGAAAGCATAAGGTGATTATTCTCAGTTTTGAAGAACCAATAGAATGGTATTTCCATATATTCCTATGATAAGATGACAGTGAAGGTGAAGATACTGGCTGAAACATGTGACCAGTAGCTTAATGTGAGAAACAAAACTATGATGGGGCTTGATTTTAATACAACTATACAAGTTTAACTGTACTTCTTCTTCTTCTTCTCTTCTCGTATGGCGCAACAGCTCAAAGTCGAGCCATGGCCTCCACCCATGTGGGAGGTTTCTTTGTCTTTGAAGTGTGCATTTATGAATAGTGAGTGACAAACCCACTGCCTCTGCACAATTTATAACCAATCCTGATTTGTCTGCTAGAGTAGTGAATCAGGAGAGAATTGGGTGAGAAATGGCCGCTGAATTTTGCTTACGAAACATCTCTTTCACAGTCTTAAGGTTCTTTTACATGCCGTAAATCTATGACATGGGACCACCGGCTTTAATTCCCCTCCGAAGGAAGTTGTGCTACGATTTTTATCACCCTTAAAAATCCATTGACCTTTGCCACGTTTTAAACCACAAACCTTGGGTCCAGTGGCAAGCACGCTAACCACTAGTACACCAAGGGTGACAGGTTTAATTATATATATAGGTCTATTTCTCACAGAAATAAACTCTCTGAAGTGGATTAGTGTAAAGAAGGAAGTTGGCTCATATAGGAAGCAAGATTATACTCTAACAAGGAAATCACCATTTAAAGCAAAGGCCACCTTGCCATGAACAATACCAACCAAATGATTATCTCCAACTTGTGAAATTATGTAGCTCTTCTCTTGCACTGAGATATGTGGATGTGAAGCTGGCGAATCGTAAACTAAGAAAAGCCATGCCACAAACCAAACAACTCCAAGACCTCCAAATATATAAAATGAGAGTGGCCAGCCTCCCAGGAACTTCAGAGAACATAAATAACCTGACAGAGGCATCGATATTATTGTTCCAAAATTTGCACCTGCAACAAAGAAAATACTTTAACATGGGTACTGTTTAATGCCACAATATGTTCCATCCTCAGTGACAGTGACAATTAATTATGAGTTCTTACTTTTACAAAACCGATGCTTTACTTCTTAACCATCAGTATTTTTCTCAGTTATTATTCATGTTTAGTTTACATATGTGAGACAGGCAAAAATTGGATAATATATTTTTATCACAGAGACATGGGGTGTGGATATCATTAATATGACACAGAATACAATCCAACAGTAAGGTTTTATGAACTTGGTCATGAAGCTTCAACAGTCACTTGTTATAAGGATGTCTTGAAATGATGGACTTCTGCCACACCTGCAGACTGGCTGAGGCCATCACCCACCGGTTCTGTTACTATGTTCATGTCCCTGTGATGGACTAGGGGTGTTGAAGCCTAAGCGAGAAGATGCTAGCCTCTCTCACACCTCTGTCTGAGAGAAGCCTGCAAGCCCTACTAACTTCAAATGAGATGAAGATTTCTGCCTTCTGGGTTGTTGCGCTGTGTAGTCTGGTCGACGTTTACCAACGTTTCAGAGGTCATACTGCTTCCATCCTTTTACATATTTTAAGATATTCTGATGGTAGTGAACATGCCTATGGACATGCCAAGACACATTCACACCTTTCTATTCCTAAATGTTACACCAAATTTTTATTATATTGTGACGTGTTGCCATGAAAGCAGCATTACAATGTCAATAAACAGTTTAGTAGAGCTGAGAGAGTGGAGCCAACGAGAGGTCTGGTGTGGCGCTGAGAAAGGACTGGTCGGCTACGTGTGAGAGCACCAGGTATGTGGACCGTGGTGGCCGAGGAGCCAGCGTGTGTCCAGTGGGGTGCTACGGGCCGATATGTAAGCGAAGAGTGTGAAGAGCGCCGAACTCGAGGGACCAGACAGATTCGGAGGACAGAGTGTGTGTGTGCAGAGAATGGAGACACGAAGTGTGTTGTTGTTGTTGTAGAGAGTTGACTGTATGTGCAGACCACTGTAACTGATTTAATTTGATGTGAATAAATCAGGGTTGACAATCCAGGTCGCAACGCCAACCCACGTTACAATATTTATTATAATCTTACTAGAAATTATCAAAAATGTATCAACCACTGACAGATGCCATGTTTATATGGTTAATTTGATGCGTTTTGTTAAACATTTACTGAACTACTACAGGTATGTTTCAGACGGGAATTACGACAATGAATAAAATAATGACGGGTCTTCACACACAAACTAAAATCTTAAAGTGATAAACTCACCCTTGGATAAAAATACAAGATTATATCTGAAAATTACTAATTATGAAACCTTATAAGGTATATTATTTGATTCACGCACACAGGAATCAGAAAAGCTGGATTCAGTCTTAGTCAAAATGTTCAAGTATTTTTCACTTGGAGCAAGTGACATACTATAACTAATCTAATACCACTGACTTTACTTCTCGGAAACTAATAGTATGCTCAGCTAGTCAAGAAATTCCCCACTTTGTAAATACTTAAATGTTAATTACCACATTCCAGAGAATCCAAAACTGATAAAATTAAAGATAATGTTATACAATTACAAATGTAGTACCATTTGTATCTTACCTGCATACACATACGAAGAAAACTTACTCCTCTCCAATGGAGGTATCCATTGAGCCAACATCACATGCATGGAGGGAAATGTAACACCCTGAAATACAAAAGCATTTTCTTAGAAATTTTATTTCTAGTTTTCTGCCTAATACACAGAGAAAAAGTACATATACTGCACAGTTGGCAACATACAGGGCATGAAAACAGTTTTTTTTCTATAATTTTGTGTTGGTTTAAATATTTCCTGAAAGTCGGGTACTCGACTTGACAGCAGGCATAAATTACTGCAATTTGATACTATACCACCAGATTTCTTACTTAGTGTAAATGACTACAAAATAATCTAAGTTCAATTGTTTCATTTTTTTACTGTTTTCTAAATTAATTCACTACTGATCTCATTGAATGAATTCATAATGCAGAACACTCTCACCCATGGAAACACAGAAGTGTCTTTTGTCAGCACAATTTTGGCAAGTCTTGATCTCATACGTTAGTGACATAACAAAGTTTCACTGTTAATTTTTTTACCAAGTGTCTTCTGTGGTTTTCAATAAATTTCTCTGTTTTTGTTCATTAAAATCCACTTAATAACAGAACAGTAAACCTGAAGCTTTCACGATGACCAAGTATAATGAATTCTTCTCGGGATACCAGCCGTGTAAGGTGATTTAATGAAGAAAACACCGTTTCGAGAACCATCATCATCCTCGTCCTTGGGGTACCCTGAGAAGATAGTTCTCAAAACGTTTCCC